TGTAACGTTGTTAGGAATACTGGACATAGAGCAGAAAACAGTAACACTCAGTAGAGTGATGGCAGCTAAGGCGGGATAGGGGTTTGAACCAAACATGGTGTTGCAATCTCTGGAATTAAGGCTGCTTCGGCAGTAGAAGTATTGTTGAAATCCACTACAGGTAACGAGGGAATACTTAAATAAATGCTAAGTGTATCTCATGAGGGGCACTTTTAGTATGGATAGAAGTCTCAGTGCATGGCTGTGACCATGCCTGTTTTAAAACATCACTTCAGGAAGGCCAGGGCAAAGGAAATAAGCACAGTAGCAGAAGCGCAGCATGGGGCCTCTGATGGTGCAGTCAGGCACACAGACTGTCTACTGCTGACACTATTGAGTGTACTTTGTGCATTCTGTTGTGCAAACTTTTGCATCTATTTGTAAGTGGCATTGTGAAATGAACAAGTTGTTGCAGTCAACAAATAGAAATTAGTTACATTCCTTCACACATCTAAGACCCACTTGAGAAATGTAAGAGACACAGCAAAAATAGCATTCATGCAGGTGATAGAAACTGACTTGGGTTTAGGAAAGCATCTAAGAAGGCCTCTTACATAGAGGTAACCAGCTAAAGTTAGAGATGGAAACATGCCCCTTATATCCCTGCAGTACATCTATTTGAGTTTGGAGTGGAGGGGAGAGGTTAGTCTTTGCCATCTTAAATTGCATTCTCCTAATGCCACGAAGGTGGTCCATACTCCTCATCTGAGCTAATGCCCTCCTGATAATGCACGTGCCTGCATGGAGTTGGTGAGCCAGGCTTGCTTATGTTAGAGCGTCTTTGACTTCTTACGTGTTCCGACTGCATCAAGGTTATTGTGTTGGTGCTCAACGCATGGTGTTTAGTGCCTGTAGAAGTGTGAAATGTCAGTGCTGTGGATGCATCAAGCTTTGTGTGCTTTCCTGTGCTTTGACAGTGTTCAGGGGTCACCTTGATAGTGGTAAGCCACTTAGTAACTGTAGTCCATGTAGAAAGTAGGTAGTATATAATGAAAGGTTTAAGTGTTGGCAGCTTAAATGTGCTGTTGCTGAAGAGTTCATCTTCTCCCTTTTGATTTATATTTTGTGAGGCTGCATGCGTAAGAATAAATCCTAGGAGAGTTATTGCGTTCCCTAAAATATTGAGCACCCTAATAAATTTATCTGAGGTCAGAGAACAGAACAGCCACTAGATACAGAGGCCAGAAAATGGTGGCACACACACCTTTAATCCTAGCATTCTGAAGGCAGAGATCCGTTTGGATCTCTGTGAGTTCAAAGCCACACTGGAAACAGGCATGAAGACACGTGCCTTAAATTCCAGGAAGTGATGGCAGGAAGCAGAAAGGTATATAAGTCATGAAAACCGGGAACTAGAGCTGGTTAAGCTTTTAGGCTTCTAGCAGCAGCTCAGCTGAGATCCAGTTGGGTGAGGACTCAGAGGCTTCCAGTCTGAGGAAACAGGATCAGCTGAGGAACTGGCAAGGTGAGGTGGCCGTGGCTTGTTCTGTTTCTCTGATCATTCAGCGTTCACTCCAATACCTGGCTCTGGGTTTGATTTTATTAATAAGACCTTTTAAGATTCGTGCTACAGAGTTATAGACATAAATATGAAAAAAAGTATGTAAGTGCTAGATAGCATAAAATAATTCTCATTTTCATATGAGAAGGACCCTGCTAAATTTGTTTCTGGAAACAGAGCCTTAGCATGTACTCAGACATACTCAGTTGTGTCAGTATTTAGACAGTTGTGGTTGCTGCATGAGTGTCCTTGAATGGTTATTTAGCAGGCATACTTATGTATGTGCATATGTGATGAGAGGATACTACCTGTCAAATACTGTAGCTCACAATGTATCAGCAGCACTAAGCAGTGCTGTCAGGCTGTTAAGGAAAAAGAAAGAATACCCAGAAGTGACTGAGAAGACCTCTCTCATCATTGATGAGGAGTAGGGAAGGGCTTGGGAGATGGCTCTGCTGGCAATGTTGCTTTCACACAAGCCTGGCAATCTGGACTCCACCCATTGAGCCAACTCCACAAAGCTGTCCTCTGACCTCCACACACATGCATGCACAAACACACAAATAAATGCTAATGGAAATATCTCTAAGACTATCCAAGATCACAGTTGTGGCGAAGCAAGGAGATCCATTGCTTGTTGTTAGGAATGACTGAGCAGGACCAAGTGTCCTTCAGAAGAGTACTGGGACATTGAGCCCCCCTGGGATAGGTGATAACAAGCTAAATTGTATGGAGATTGCAAAGGACCTGCATTTTTTAATCAGTTCTAGCCTGGGTATGTACATGTAGCTGCCAAAAAAGATATAGGCACTCTGAGTGGAAACGTTACTGTTCCTCTCCAAATCCTCTGGATTGGTTAGAGTCTGACTGTTGAGATAGGAGGGCTGGGGATAGTTCCTGGTGTGAACTTGTCTATATAAATGCTGGAAAGCTACTGTAGTGTATTTAAGACTGTGCTGTTACTCTTGAATATTTTACTGATTGGAAAATTGACATTTAAGTCAGATAAAGAAAAGAAAATCTGTGTTTTAGATGTTGGGAACATCTGAGCAGTGAAACTAATAATGCTTTGATCTTCAGTTTCCTAACAAGATTTGGAACCGACTTGGGATTGGTCCCTGAAGTGTAATACAGTTCCTCACAAAACGGCTTTTTAACTTAGTCTTGATCTCACTAATTGTTCTCTGTCATGTTATCTCAATTTGTGTTATTTTGATGTATTTTTCAGGCAGTTTCTATGTTTCTGCTAAGTAGTAATCAGTCAGTAACTTGTTACTGCCCTCTGACCTTGGTGTGGAGGTACATTGTAGTTCTCACAGATGGCAAGTGTAAACAGATGTTTCCTGTCCCAACATTTCCTGTCCTAAATGCCTGTTACCAAATATCCAGCAGCCACTTCCCGAATTACCATACAGAGGCTTATATTAATTATAAATGCTTGGCAGATAGCTCAGGCTTGTTACTAACTAGCTCTTACAACTTAAATTAACCCATTTCTGTAAATCTATGTATTGCCATGTGGCTCCTGGCTTTACCTGTCATCTAGCATGTCTTGCTTCCTGGGTGGCTGGCTGACATCTCTTCTCACTCCACCCTTATTCTTCCCAGTATTCTCAATTTGGCTTTCCCATCTAACTTCCTGCCCAGCTACTGGCCTGTCAGCTTTTTATTAACCAGTGAGTAATGCATATTCATAGTGTAGAAAAGGATTGTTCCACAGCATTTCCCCCTTTTTGTCTAATTAAAAAGGAAGGTTTTAACCTTAATATAGTAAAACTATATACAACAAAAATAGTTACTAAGAATTACAGAAACAATATCCAATCCATTTGCATTTGGCAAAATTAGAGAAAATACTTAATTATCTATCTTTTCTTGGTGAGTCTAAAGTTTTGTATCTTTTTATCTTTTATCATGACTAAGAAAAACTATGACTATCTAGTCTTCAACTACATCAAAGACCTAGAAGGGTGAAATGTTACCTAATAACGGGGATATCTCACTGCCTAGACAGTCACCCAAAGTTCCTCTGTAATGTTGCAGCATCCATCTTTGACCTACAGGCCTGGAGTATCTGACAGACTTTTCTCAGAAGCAGGAAAATTTGAAGGACTGTCCTACCTTGTCTTGGCAAAGTTTGGTAGTCACTTTCTTTTGTATCCTATTGGTCCAATTTGGACAGTAACTATCAGCAATTGAGGAAAGGGCAGTTTCTTTGTCCACATAGCTAGCTTTTGCCATAAAGAAAGCAAACTCCATATGGAAGTTCTTCAGTGCTCATCATCTTCTCTGAAGTAGATCGGTGCTGCCAGGAATAGATGTATCTCATTGTCATGAGAAGCCTTTTAGGTTATTAAACATGTTAACTGTCATATTCTTAGGTCTTTGAAGTGTTTAAAGACCGTCTATCTAAATGTATCCTGTGTATGACCTTGACTTAAGTTTGACTATTATGGATGATTAACTATTAATCTGTATTTCTTAAATTATGCATTGCATTTTTAAATGAGCTACATAAGCACAAAATCTTAAACAAGAGTAGAAATATACATATAGTATAACAACATTAATTTTAAATCTGTATCAATAAACTAAAATCCATACCAGTGTAAAATATTTTGAGGTCAACAGTTGTTTTTTTTCGATTAAAGTAGATTCAAAAACCTACCTCCTTCCCCTATCATTTCTATATCATATTCTCTCCTTCTTTTAGAAAGAGATCTCTGAACTTAACTCTTTTGTTTAGCCCTTTTTTGACTATGACCAATAACAATTTGTAACTAACCCCTTAAACAAAGACAAACATCCATAATCTATTTTTTGGGGAATGTAGGTGTAGTTCTCTAGACTGATTGGGGCCACTGGTAATCTTTGGGAGACCCAGAGAAGATTTAGGATAATGGTTAAATCTTAGCTGGAGTAGTCTGGGAGGCTGGATCATTTCAGCCAGCAGCTTTGAAGCCTTTCTGGATGCAGAACTCAGGAAACTGCAACAGAGGCACTCTGAAATGTTGGATCATCTGAGCCATCTGTTCCCATTGGAGATTTTTCAGGGGGTTTTCCTTAATCAAACCTGATTTTTCTTACCCCAGAATGAATCCATAGCCTCTCATTTTCTGTGGAAATAAGAACAGAACCTCTTTCCCAAAGTAGCATATCGTTTGACTTAAATTTCGAAGTCAGGATTTTTTTTTTAATATATAGGTTGGTTTAATCTAGCAACTTTCATAATCAAATGTATCTTAGCAGTTACCATTTGTTCATCAGTAGTCAGAAAATTTAAAGGCAACCCTGCAAGGGCTGTGGCTGCAGAGGAGTCCTGCAGTACATGAGGAGAATTGCCTGTTTCTGTTTATGGAGCACTGTGAACCACCTGCTTATATTTATATGTTGTAGGACAGTTACATGTAATGAAATGCCATAGAAACATAAGTAGCTGACTGTAACTTTTTTCTTTCAGAACTTAAATGAATATGTTGAAGCATTAATTGCCTTGAAACAGAAAATTATTAATACAGAGTAAGTATACCTGCATGTTGGAAGACTTTTGCCAGTCTGTCCAACTGGTTGAAGTGGGTGGTATTTTGGAACCCCGAAGTGGACCCAGTGGGTTCAGAAACATTGAACCCCTTGCTTAGGGGCTCACACAGGCTTTAGTAGAAAATCATCTTTGCTAAGTTCGATTTTAGAAGCTGCTTTGTCTCTCAAACTGTTCTGTATGCTGGTGTCAGATTTCCTCACACTATGCTACATTACAAGATTTAATTCTTTTCAATATTCTTTGATAATATCATGTTTCAGACTAAAAGTTCATAATACTTGTGGGTTGTTTAGGAATCAAGGTGATGTCCTCCTAGCATGCTTTTGTTTTGGGACCAAAGAAGAAAGGCCATCTAGAGCGATGTGAGCCATAGCTTTCTGTGGTGTACTTGTCCAGTGACGCAGGAGCCTAACCTCTCTTTTCTCTGTTGCAGTAACCTGCTGACGGAATATCAGAAGAAATGCGACGATATCCTTCCCTTGTTTTTCCCTTTGGATGTCAGCACTGACTTATGTGTAATAACTCAAAAGATAGGAGGGCTCTCCTTTTTAATAATTACCTTTCAAAAGGCAGTGTCTGTTGACGTAAGGGAGCCCTTCTCAAACAGACAACAACAGGCCTTTTAGTGCCGTAGCAATGGGTGTGTGGTGGGGGATCCTAAAGCGAGGCAGCTAGCATCTCTCTTGTTTCTGTTGCTTGTTCTGATTTTATTATGGTCTTCAGCTTTTAATGAGTGGGTTTTCCTCTTGTACAGGGGGTGTGGCATCAAGTGAGCGGATGCATTATTGTGGATGCAGTAGTGCTTGCTGCTTGGTATCTTTAAATATACTAAAAATAACCAAGATCGTTGAAATGGTTTGGAAATTGATCTTGCTTTTATTGTAGAGCAGTAATGTGTGCATCCATGAATCAGACAAGTAATGGAATTTTATGGTTGTAAGAGTGCTTAGTTTAGACTCATTGGCTAAGCAAGGGTTGAGCAAGCACCTTTGTGTAGTTAACACAGTTAGATGTCTTCAGCAGTAAGAAAAAGCTGGTCCTGCCACATCTGTTAGTAACACCCACCTTGGGTTAAATCTCTCAAAAGGACATAGCATTCCGCCTACCACCACCCAAAAAATAAGCATGCATAGACCTGTGGAGATTGGCAAAGAGCTGGGCTCTTTTTCAGTCCTGGGGCAGATTCTGTTCTTGCAGAGGTCGAGTCCATGGTCTGCAGTACTGAGGCCATTTAGTTGTGGTACCAGAGCTTGCAGATTATTTGAGCTGTTGTAAAATCTGTGTCAGAGTGACTTTAGAGCCTAGATTTCACATTGAAATGAAAGTCACTGGAAATTCCCACAGTTGATTTATCTGCTGAAATGTAAAATACAACAGGACTTTAGGAGTAGTATCTTCCATTGAATATAGATGCTGTCCAGAAATAGTTGTCCCAGCTGTTGATAGTGAAATAGTAACAGATGGTGGGCTCAGTATTAGAGCAGTGATCTCCCAGCACTTCAGAGAAATGATGGAAACTTTTTGGTAATTACATTTATACTCTCATGATAGATAAATGGTCTGATTTTCTAAAAGTTTCCTATCAAAATTTAAATAAAAAATTCTTTTTCTTAAAAATTATTTTGTGTCTGTTTGTGGGTATGTGTTAGCATTTAGGCATCTGTACTGGCCTGCCCTTAGGGTCCTGACAGGATATACCTCATCTGCAGCCACTAAGAGCATCCCCTGTGCGCATTTGCTGTGTTTCCTTATAAAAAAAAGGCAGGCCTTGCCCACCTCCCATCACTTTCTCTTTCTCTTCTTTCGCTCTCATCTCCAGGGACCAGTCTCTGCCCCCTTCTCTGCTCCTTCTCTCCCCTCCCCTCCATAAACCTCCCTCATGGGCCTGCTGTGTGGTGGACTCCTTCCCGCTCTTTTTAAAATACAAAATACTGGCCTGCTCTTGGTGGCTGCAGCTGAGGAGGGATCTTGAAGTCCTGTTGGGACCCCAAGGCAGGCCAGTACAGATGCCTAATGCTAACAGTGTGTGCACATGAGTGCAGTGCACATGTGTGCAGCACCCATGCTGGCCACCTGCTGTAGGTGCTGGGATCTGAACTAGACACTGTGGAAGAGCAGTGTGCTTACTCTGAGCCACTGAGCCACATCTCCAGCCCTAGACCAGCTCCTTAAGTAGATAAAACTTGCAGTTATATTTTGAGATACAGAGATTTGGCTTCAGCTACAGAAACAAATTTTAAAAACACTCTTGGCATTATCCTCAAGTATGTATTTGTCACAACTCAGAACTGTAACTGTCCTCCCAATAGGATGCCAGTGTCTAGGCTTAATGTAGCTTCTTCCTAACTGAATTACTTGTAGCACCTCTTCTGAAAGCCTGGAGCATGTCCACATGAGGTCACTGCCACCACTGTGGGACCGAGGAGAGCGAATGTGCTCTTCTTGATCTTAAGAAGAACTGTAGTCCCGTGTGGCTTTGTGGATGCCTAACTTTTGTCTACTAGACTGTTTGAGAAATGGAAGGTTTGGAGGTTCTGTTGTAAAGTATTTTCCTTCAGTCGATTAGTAGAGAAATAGATGTTTCGACTTGGGTTCTGTCTTAGTCACTATTATCTTCATGATAGGGAGCATGGTGGCATGCGGGCAGGTGCTGGAGCAGTAGCTGAGAGCTGCATCCTAATCTGTCAGCAGAGAGGAGTCAGAGGAAGGGATGCTGGGCCTAGTGTGAGCTTTAAACAGCCAAGCTCACCCCTAGTGACACACTTCCTCCACAAAACCACATCCAGCAAGGCCACACCTCCTAATCATTCTAATCCTCAAATAGTGCCACTCCCTGGTGACTAAGCATTCAAATATATGAGCCTGTGGGGGCCATTCTTGTGCATACCACCACAGATTCATACATTGGGAAGTAGGGATAATGTAGACTCACCACTGTTAGAGATGGGTGTGTGCATATTGTGTGGCGTTATGGTCCAGCCTAGGTGTACATGATTACTGTAAGACAGAATTTATCTTCAGACAAATATCAGAAGATGAAGGTTCAAGTTTTCTTTAACAAGTTTTACAACTGCAGTTTGCAAGAAGGTGAGCTGCCTGGCTTCCGTAACTGTTGATTGCGCCTGTGAATTCTTGGGTAAAGGTGGATATATAGCAAGCCAGAGCCTGGGAGACCTGCCTTGAATTAAACTGCTTTGGGTGCTCCCCTTTACAAGCAGCTTTGCCTTGTCCTATCAAATCCCTCAAATGTATTTATTGCATAGGTTTCAAATTGAACCCTCATGGTTTGCTTCAGTAACTGTGACCACATTGTGAGCTGAAACTGAAGTTCTATTACTTTTGCTCACACAATTACACTGTTCAACGCCATTTATCTTGTGTTGTTTATAACAAAATAAAGCCACTAAAATTGTAATGATGTTTTATGCTCTGACTACAATTATCACTTAGAAATCAACATGAGGTTATAAATCAGATTGCATTTATATTACAGTTTACATTACAATTGTATTTAGATTATTACAGTGCTCACTTAAAAGTCAGCATGAGGTTATACATCAGATAGAGCATCCGTGTATCACTTATTTGGAACAAATGAGGGAAGATGAAGATTGGATGTGCCAGATGTTTGGCAGACTGTCCTCAGACAGCTTCTCTGGTGTATTGAAGTCTGTTGGACTGGTTTCTGATGTTACTTTTTGGTACAGTCTCATTAAAAAGTTGGTTATGCCTAAAAGATCAAAAGCAGTCTGATTGTTAGTATGAGCAGGAAAAATCATTAAAGTTAGTGTTGAATAACGCACTCCAGCTGGTCTGCTCAGTGATGCCAATGCCTTGTCCGTTTTCAGAGAGAACAGCATGCTGCATCACCAAGTGGAGCAGATGCTTCAGAAAATCTCCCCTCTGCAGAAATGCCAAGAGGAGCTGGACGTCTTGAGAGCAGAGCTGGAGGAGAAAAAGGTGCCCAGAGCCACTTTCCTGTAGAGGGTCATTGTCGTTTAGGATTGACTCGTGCACTTACTGGCTGGGATTCAGGGGCGTTGACATGTTAGCAAAGGATGTGAGTGCTAGAGGACACCCTTCTGTGTCTCCTGGAGAGCATCCTGCTCTGACTGATGTGTGGCTCCACAGTGATTCCTGGGACTCTGCACAAGTGTAAAAAGGGTTATGTGTAAACTCTTGGGGTTTTATATTCCATGTAGTAATTATCTCTGGTTTTTTGTTTTTGTTTTTTTTTTTTTTCATTTAAAAAATTTTCTTGACTTAAGTGGGAAATAACATGTAGACATTCAGAATTAGTGGTAGGAGAATCATTGTGTGACTGTGGGTGGGGGAACTGGATTTCCATAGTAGTTCAGGTCTAGCCTTAGCTCAGCACTCAGGGCCTCTGCTCTGGTAGAATTCAAATGTCCTTGGAGGACCTCTGTTGAATCTTAAGCAGTTAATATGAATGAATGGTCTTGACAGACTGGTTTGGGGTTTGGGTAACTACTTAGTCCCTGCGGTTTCTCAGGGCCGTGAGGTCCACAGAGAGCCACTTTCATTCATATCTCAAGTTCTTAGAGGGAGTGGTCATTTCCTTTACTCGAGGGAGATGGAGCCTTGGGAAAGAGGCTTCAGATAGGAAACTGATACTTTGACCTCTCATGGACTCTCTTCTTCAAAGTCAAACCTTTGAAGCAGTTCGCTCAAAGTGCTGTAAATGCTTTTCTGTATAAAGTTTTTATGTCCTTTATAGGAATCCTAGGAGCACATCCAGTCCATGGAGTTTATAAGTAGAAGCATCTGAAGCCTCTAGCTAGGTGGCTGGCCTGAAAGGAGGTGGAGCTGTCTGGGTTATTATCCAGCCTGTGTGTGTTCTTTCTGGCTCTTTTCAGAGAAGATTGCTATTATCCATTATCCACCTGCCTCTGTTGTGGTTTCAGTGATGTGCTGTTGTCTGGGTTTTCATGTACTGTGTGCTTGTACATGTCAGCATTCCTGTTTCTCTAGGAATTCTTTATGGTTTAACTGCAGTGAAAGCGAAACAGCCAATCACAGTGTTCAGTCCTTCATGCTCTTGGTTATATAATGTCCATAGTATGCCCTCAAGGAAGTGTGAGCCTTGGAGTCAGACCTCAGTGGTACACCCTCTTAGTCACTGGGTGACATGTCTTGCAGGAATATCCCATCCTGTCAAATCCTTTGTGAAGAGGGCTTGATGAAGCTCATCTCTCAGAGCTTTTAAGGTTAGAGAAATGCCATGTACAGACCACAACATGGACACAGTGTCTTTCCAGTCCATAGGGTCATCATGGAGGATGAGTCAGTGTTCATACATTTTCCCAGCTAATTTTGATTAGTAACTTGTTTTCCTTTTCCTGACAGTAATAATGTAACACTTACTGAGCCCGATATCAGCTTGGATTCTGTTACTATAATTGCTGAGGGGAACATTTTAGCTGTTTGGTATTTAAGCCAGTGGTGTATTATGCAGATTGGAGTTGTGTAGATTTGCTTGTCTGTTCTGTCAGCTCTGTCTTCTGGGAACCTAGCCTACTCCTGGAGATGCTCAGTAACTTCTGGGCCTTGCTGACAAGTCTGGCTGTGTACTTGGTTAGTCTTGTGCTACCAGATGAGAATTTAGCTTACGATGAAACAAATGAGTACCATGATCAATGGCTCTTGGGGAGATACTTATTTTTCCTGTTTCCTTGTTAGAGTTCCCTGAAGCTGTATCAGAACACTCACCAGGAATACGCTCGTGTGAAAGAAGAATGCTTGAAAAGTGATGCCCAGTAAGTGGGTTACTTTTGATACGGGGCTTTCATCGTTGAGACTAGATGTTTGTAAATAAGTGTTTTCTTTTGTTTCTATTCATTGGTTGTAATTAATTAGCTGTGCAAACTTGGGCTAGTCTCTCAGCCACGGTTTTCACCACTGTCACATGGGGTCAGCACTGTTCTGACTAAGGTGGTCTGGTGCTGGAGGGCTGCACGAAGAGGTATTGTACATGCTCACTTTATCGTGTGTGAGCTGTAGCTGTGTGTCCACACACAGTCGTGGGCCTCCTGTCTTTACCAGCCTTGTACAGGCATCATCTGTTGTAGTATCCCACGGTAGAAGGAAGGGCCTTTGTTACCAGCAGTGAAGTGGGCTGAGCCTCTTGCTAGTTACGTTGAAGCTTGGTACCTCAGCCCCAGCACTGAGAGATCACTTGTGGAGCTATGTGAGCCACCACTTGTTGGCTGTGACAGCAGCAGCATCTGGAGACTTTTCTGAGCTTCCTACCTTCTCCACTCTCGGAAATCCATCTCAGAGCAGGCGAAGCTCCCCGCTGCTGCTTCCCTTGCTCACTGTGCACGCTCCTGAAGAGTGCCTGATGAGTTAGATGCGTGAAGCAGGGAGATCGTTTGGACACACCCAGAGATGACACTTACTGTCCTGAAGGAGAGGCCTCGCATGTGTTTGTGGCAGAGACTCAGTAGACTCTCTCTATTTCTCAAACAAAAGTCAGGTCTTTAAAAACCTGTTTTAGGAATACTGTATAGTAGACAGTAGACAGATTAGTGTTCTTTGTCAGGCTTCTTCTGTCATAGCTCAATTGCTGGTACTTTAGTTGACATGTGACACTAATTATAAGAGAAAAAGTCTCTTGTGTACACCATGTGTGCTGAACTGTCATTTCTGCGTCTAACTGACAAGGTTTTATTGTCAGGAAGAAGAAGCTGGAGGCTAAGGTGAAGAAGCTGGAAGGTAAGTACGGCTGTTGTGTGTGGCCAGCAGAGCCCTGTCATTGTACAGACCCTGGTAAGTGTGCGGCTGTGAGTGTCAGTGGGGTGTGCCGGGAAGGGAGTTATGTGCTGCTGCTCCAGTTAATCCCCTTCTCTGTGACCCTTTGCTGGAAACAGGCAACGTGGAAGGAAATGCAGTGATACAGTTTTGAAAGTTGGATCTTGTAGCTATTTTTGTTTCTTTCATTCCCAGTTGAAGTTGGTGGTTACTAGAGAAGGTGCCACTTCGTGTGTTGTCTTAGTCGGGTTTCCATTGCTGCGATGAACAAGGGGACCAAAGCGCCTTGAGCAGGGAAGGGTGGTTTGACTTGTATATCAGAATCCATTGTGAGAAGCCAAGACAGGAACCTGGAGGCAGGAGCTGATGCAGAGACCACGGAGGGGTGCAGCTTACTGCCTTGCTCTTTGTGGCTTGTCCAGCCTGCTCTCTTATAGAACCCAGGACCACCAGCCCAGGGGTGTCACTGCCCACAATGGGCTGGGCCCTCCTGCTCAGTCACTAATTAAGAAAATGCCTTACAGGTTTGCCTACAGCCTGAACTATGGGGGCATTTCCTCAGTTGAAGTTCCCTCATTTCAAATGACTCTAGCCTGTGCCAAGTTGATGGCAAAGAACTGCTATACATTGATAGTTCTGGCGTGCACACACACACACACACACACACACACACACACACACACACACACTTCTATGAAGTGCCCCACCCTGGCCCTCCTTCACACCCCACTTATTTCCAAGTAACCAGAAGGGCATAAGCACTGGAATCTGTTATGTCCTTACATCTTAACTGATTGTGCTTTCAAAAGTTGGCTAGGAATGGAAGGTCCATTTTGTTTGCAGTTACTCAGGGATGGAATCAGGTAGAGGCAATGGCTGTGCTGTCACGCTCTGCCTATGTGGACTTCAACATCCTGGTGGTTGTACTCTGCTTCTGAATGAGGTGTTTCCATGGAAGGTGTGAACTTAGGAGCTGGGGACATTTAGAACAAGAATGGATGATGAGTTCTTAGTTTAGATATCAGTTCTACAGATGGTTGGATAATATCATCTCATGAATGCTGACAGGCACTAAACTCATGGCTTTGCTCTCAGCTTGTCCTCTCGTATGTGGGATAAGTGGAATGCCTGAGAGGCTGTGTGCAACTTTGAGAAGAGACCTGTGGAGTCAAATGTGGCCTTTATTTTTATTGTAAGAAAAGTAATTTTCCCTAGAAATTGATAGGACAGAGTAAAAGTGCTGGGCACAAGCTCAGTGAGAAAAGAAGTGTTGCTGGCGTCTTGCAGGACTTTGCCTTCCTCTCTATGTGCGCACGAGTGTCTTTGTGATGCCAGTTCTGGCTAGAGTCTTGCTGGTATGTGTATCGTTTGGCTTTTGAACCAAAAAGGAATGAATGATTTGCTCACAGTCTAGGGTCTGCACACTGTCCTAGCCAGAGTATTGCATGGGAGGATTTGGAGTTGCTGTATCAGGGGTGGGAAGGATCTTCATAGCCCTAGTCAGTTCTGTAGCTTCATGAGAAGGCAGTAACTGTCTGTGACATGTGTCGAGTTTTAGGGGAGGGAAAAAGCTGGCATGGATCACACAGGTCCGGGCCACTCACTGACTCTCCCCTTTTTCTGTTGCTTTCCTGTCCCTATTACACATAGAGGCTGCTGTCAAACACACTCAGGACTTCAAGCAATTGAGAAACGAAAAGAAAATACTTGAAAAGGAATTTAAGAAGACACAGGTACTGGGTAAAATGATGCACACACATTACATCCCTGACTCATGGCCTCTGTGGACATAGGTACTGGGTAAAAGATGCACACACTTTACTTCCTCGACTTAGGGCTTCTGTGGCATCCAGGCTGTGGCTGCAGTCACTGTCTGTTGCCTTGCACCCGTCTGACCTTTGTTCCACAGTGTTTGCTTCGTACAGCATAAGCACTCTTGGTATTTTTCTCCTCCAACACAGGAAAGGTTTGATGAATTTTCCAAACAGAAAAATGAGAAGGGTGAGTATTCAGTTAATGCTTGCTTGGAGAGCCAGTTTTAATGTGCAGTGTTTATTTTAAACTCTTCTTATGTGTTTTTAGAGTTGAGACACATTGGAACACAGATCTCAAGTGATTCTCCTGGAAGCATAGATAAAAGTGAGTATCCTAATGGTGTCTTTGGTTTTATGCGTTGTTTACTGTGGTTTGTAGGCATATGTACCTCTTAACCTAACTGCAAAAATACTGCTGTGTAGATACTTTGTTGGAAAAATTTTTGTTATTTTGGATGGCTGTTAGTTAGTTTGCATATATCTACAGTTACTTATCAATGTGCATAAAGACAACTATTTTCGTAAAATATATGAATGGAAGAATCAAAGAAGACATTGATTGGGAAAGGAAAAGTACTTATATAAGCCCCACATTTTTCAGCAAGTAACAATAGGTTTCTGTCTAGATTACAGCCTATCAGATTAATTCATTAAGCTTCCTGGGTGCCAGAGCAGTGTGAGGCGGGAGAACTGTAGTCACATCTCTGCAGTGTGTTTTCTAGGGATAAGACAAGGAGAAGTGTTTGAGAAGTCAAACACTACTGGTTACAGAGCACAAGCAAGGCCGATGTGGTATGCTTACTTTCAATAGCAGGCATGGGGAGGCCAGGGCCACAGGTGAGGGATAGGACTTGGCATTGAGATACTTTGTGGATTGTTTGGCCCTTGGCTGCTTTCCTCCTCTTTCTGGTCTGTTTTAAAAATGGAGATAGGACTTTGAATTTCTGTTTAATCTTGGAAGGTTTTTTTGAAAATAAAATGCTACAGTAGCAAATGAAGAAGGTATTTTTGTTTCACAAAGACTTGACTTTAGTCAAAGTCAAAACTGAGAAGTGACACCAGATGCATAGTATCTCAATAAGTTCCCCTTTCTCCTTGTGTTTGCTTGTTTAATTCCGAAAATAAGTTCAGGTTTTTCCTAGCTTAGAGTTTGGCTGGCAGTTGCTGATGTGGATGGTCTTGGATTTGACTGTCGGGTGCTGATGTGGTGTGGGAGCCTATTTTCAGGTTTCCTAGTGGCTTTACCCAGCAGGTCTTCATAGAGAGGATGATTGGACCACGGGCCTGAATGCAGGTGTCTGAGATGGTCTGCACTTGGCTGTGCTGGGGGGAGGTCTTTTGCTCCACCCCTTGGCATTTCTATGAATAACCTGGGGCAGAGACAGTCTGGGCCTGTTGGAATAGGTTCCAGGCCCTCTCGAGGCTATCCTGTATTTTCTATCTGTTTATCTCCACACTTTAAGTCCTCTGTCTAATATTTCCTGCTGCTCCTACTCAAGAACACTCTAGGGAGATGTGGGGGTGGTGGATAGCCCCCCCCCCCCCATGTCGGTGGTCTTGAGTTTGGCTGTCAGGTACTGATGTGGATGGTCCATGGAGTATTCATGCTTAGACAGTCTTTTCCTACCTGTGTGAAAAGTGGGGCCTTAGCAGGTTTTGCTGAGGTCTTACTGGCTCACCCCCCAGTCGGTGGTCCACTGTGGAGGTTGTCTTTCCTTCTGCAGTCTGTATGCAGCCTTCCTGATGAAAACAACCCCATACCTTCCTATCATGTTCTCTGTCATTATGTCCTGCAGTGTTTTAACACCAAAGAGCTCGTTACTGCCCCAAGTCATTTTATGTTGTGTTTTTAACCTTCCTTGTTGATGAGGACAGGAGTGTTTTCTATTGTACATTTTTCAAGTCAATAAAGTCAGCTGTGCACCTGGATGCACTGACTTCATAGTTCTTAACTGACCCCTTAGGATTTTCCCTATTCATGCTTGGCTTTGGGAAGAAATTGACCAGTTTGTCACTGAAGAGTGATAGATTGGATTTCTTTTACAAAAGGCTGACCAAGGCTGCTTTTTCTTCTTACTGAGTTCCAGTAAGCAAAGACTTGATATAAATGGAAACAAGTAACTGTGTACCTGAGCCCAGCTGATGCTGTAATTCAGCACGTGGAATGTCCTGGAGAGAGCATCTTGAGTCTGAAGCCACCTTGGCTACATAGTGATACACTGTCTCCAAAACTAGAAGCCGCTCTCCTGGACACTTTAGGTCAGTGGTTCTCAACCCTTGGGACCCTGTCACGGGTCGCCTAAGACCATTGGAAAACACAGATATTTACATTATGAGTCATAACAGTGGCAACAGTAAAGTTGTGCACTAGCAATGAAATTAGTGTTATGGTTGGGGGTCACCACAACGTGAAGAACTGTATTAAAGGGTCAGAACATTAGGAAGGTTGAGAACCACTGCTCTAGATGTTTAACATCAGTAGAGAGGAGTGAGTGTAGAGGATGGAAAGCTGATGGTCACCATAGCAGAGAAGAGCAGGGTTTCAGCAGTCACTCTTCCAAATCATGGGGCAGAGCATTAATGTTCTGCAAATAACTGATTAAAGGGAACGGTAGACCAGCCTTCTAGTTTTAGAAGTTGTTGCTTGAGTTTTTTTCAGACACTGTTCCCAAGTGTAGTTTATTAAAGTATGACCTATGGATGAGAATTATTAGAGATGAAATAATTGGGTAGTTAATGGCTGCTTTGAGTACTATCCCCTTTCCCCTGCTCCCATAAGATGCTTATACATGCTGTATGAATTCTCATAAACGGGCCCACTCACCAGCCCTTCCATAGGGTTTATGAAAAGACAACCTACAGTGATTGACAGGTAGTAGACTCGGAGTGTAGGGGAAGGAAGCAGACTTTGTCTGCCATCAGTGTTTGCCTAAACCTTTCACTAAACCTTTGAAAACTAGAATTGGCAAGAAAAATCCCTCAGATTCCAGAAGATTGAAGAATAGTATAAACTCATAAATAAGAGAAATGTTCAGACCTGCTCGTATTCTTGAGCATGTTCAGGAACATGCCCCCAGCCACTGGCATCACATGTGGTGTGGAGCCCCTGAGAACTAAAACATCAGCCACGTAGATGAGTATGGACTGGACTAGTGGGTTCATTTCCTGACCCAGAAGATGAAGTGTAGGGTGTCTGAGAATGTAGTCAAAGATGGCAGAGAAACAAATGCCCTGAAGTCTTGGCATTCATCTGTTAGAATGTTTCATAGCCAGGAGGGAGTCATAAGGAAGAAAAGGAAAGTCCCTGAGCAGAAAGCACAGGTTGTGTGTGTGTGTGTGTGTGTGTGTGTGTGTGTGTGTGTGTGTGTGTGTGTGTGTTGACACCATAAGGGTAAAGCAGGGCTCTTAGGGTGATATGACACATGCCTCAGATCAAATGAAGCAGAGAGTTGATTATGTGGGACTGATTTAAGATAGGCTCAGCAGGGCCTCTGTGAAGTGGTAAGGCCAGTAGTAAGTTCAGTCTTCAGAACAGTGCCATGTGGATTAAAGGTACTGCCCATTAAGAAAGTGCTGCTGCTGTGTACCCAAGAATATGGAACTATGCCAGACAAAACAAACCTCATGGGGGTTCCTGAGGAAATGAGACAGTCTTCATGGGAAACTTACATGTTTGTCTATGAATAAGGGGGTGTGAGAGGCTGGAGAAGCACCTGCCAGAATGACCATTTATGTACACCATATACTCAGAGTTCTTTAGACCATTGTTCAAAACTTCATAAAGGTTGGCTAATACAACTAAAAATGAAATGTGATGTTGATAAAAGTTTTCTCCCTAAGTCAGTAAAGCAGAAAAACCATGCTGGTTACAATGGTGGGCCTTTGGAACTGGCTCTTGGTGGTAAAAACAGCAACCCCACTGTGAAAAGGGTTAAGGACAGGAGAGCCTGTGCTGGTGCAGGCTCCGCAGCCACAGCAGAGTTCAGTCCCCAGTGTTGTTCAGCTGTGGAAAGTAGAGGACAGATCGATTTCCAGGACATCATTTTTCTGGCCCCAGGATCTCCAGAAGTCTCACTTGGAAATGGGCTTAGAACTGATAAGAGTGTGAAGTTATGTCAGGTATCATGCAGACCTGCAGTGTGCTTTATTGACCCAGCTGAAGATGAACAGAATAAGAGCTGCCCTTTTTCAAATGGCAGGTGAACCCTCCAGTGTCTAGAGAAAGACCTGAGGCAGTGCACAGCATCCGTAGGAGAACAAGGGTGGAGCATCCCTAAACATTTCTAACTAGTGTTGCTTCAGCTCAGCAGGTATTAAAAAGTGAAAGCTGTCCGAACAGTAAACTCCTTTAAGGATAAAGAACTGAGCTGGACCATGTTCTAGCCACATTCTGGCTCGCTCTTCATGACTTGAGAAGATGCTCTTGATCCCGAGAGTGGCAGTGGAGTGCAAAAGTCAGAAACAGTTGTGAGCACCTTAGATTGTGATAAAAGAAGAAATGCTTAGGAGATTAAACATACAACTAAGTTACAACTAAGTCACCCAGCTGCCCTGAAGAGTTTTCTCTGCTTGTTGGGAAGGCTAGCCTGGGGACATCCATGAGAAGGCATGTGTGCTCCATGGTTTTCTGACTGTCCTCCAGGAGGATGGAAAAGGATCTTGTTTTCTTTGTTTTTAGGGGTCCTTGTTTGCTGCTTTGGGTATGTGTACTGAGCAGAGATCTGGTTAGGTCATGTAAACAAAGGGGAGGACAGTGTTTGGAAGCAGGCTCTGGGGTAGGTTAATCATAATTCAGATAAGCTTCTCAGCCATAGGGATTGGAACTCAGACTTCTGGAGCCTCAGTGATAACTGGGTTGACTTGGAATAGGAAAGGTAGGGGCCAAAGGTAGGGGCCAGCTGTTCTGGACACTCTCTCCACCCACAGTCTCCTGTTAGGCTTAAGCAGCCCTTTCCCAACTCGAACAGGTTTATCCATCTCCTGGACCTCTACCTTTCCTTCTGCTTTTTCTACGATGTCTCTCCTGTCTCTCCTATCCCTCACAAATTCAGGGGATGCTATCCAGTGCCTTCCCCGAGCTAGAGAAGATGTGGCCGAGGGCTCTCCCAGTGCTACTCTTCTGGTATCAAATCCAACAGGTGCCAGTTTGTTTAGAGCTGGGGCAACTTCCTGTGATCTGGGCTGTCCCATGTATGTATCACTCCTTTTAAGCTTTTCAAGCAATGCCAAGTAACGCTGAGTCTCCGCTGTGTATTCTTCTAATGCTGATTCCACAGAGGTTCTAAGTGGGGCGGAGTCACTGTCGCTGGAGTCTGTGAACTCTCCAAAGTAGGATTCCTTCAAGTGACACAAAGCACACTGTCATACAGATGCTCAGTAGACCTACCCTGTCATGACAACTAAACACATTAAGAAGAGTGGGTGTGACCTCATTCTGTGGTGACCCCCAACCATGAAATTATTTTCATTGCTATTTCATTAACTGTAATCTTGCTGCTATTAGGAAGTCATGTAAATATCTGTGTTTTCCAATGGTCTTAGGTGACCCCCACCCTCACCCCCGTGAAAGGGCTGTTCAACTGCCCCAAAAGAGTTGGGCACAGGTTGAGAACCACTGTTCTAAGGAAAGGACTCAGAAGACTCAGCCCGTTTGTTATTAAAGGCATTTAGGGCTTTTCTCTATTCGCGTGTGCCTTTGTTCCCGAGTGCTATGAGATGGGTACAACAGTAGCAGAGCGTCCCTCAGTTCCATGAGTACACCACCAGGTGACCTTGCAGCACCACCCAGGACTGAGGGACTGGACAAAGTCCATGGGTGTGAGGTGGGGTAGGGGACACGGCAGGAGTGCCTGCAGAGGACACCCACAGCAGCAGGGGAGGACGCGCTTTCACAGGGCCGGAAACAGCTACAGAAGCTCTGACTCAAGCTGAGAGGCCAGGATGTGAAGAAGGGCGGATGGGAAGCCTAGGATAGTACAGTGAGGGGGTAAAGTGCCTGCGACTCATTAAATACACAGATTCCAAAGTACCAATCGAGGCAGAAAATATCCAAACACAAAGGGCTTGAGGTGAAGCCTGGATTAAAATAAATATAACCTATAGTAATTAAATTTCAATGTGAAACAATTTGGAGGCCAAAGAAGCTAAGTTCCTAAATTAAGCCCTCACTTACCGTAAAATCTTTAACCCAGGGTGGCAGCATTATGAAGTTGAAAACCACTGCCCTAGAAGAAAAAGCAAGCAAACCTATGGCCAGTCTTCAGTTTTTAGCCAAAGCATCGCCTGGCTTTTGTTGACAATGAGCTGATGTGCGTGTGATTGTAGTGGGAAGGTCGGGTGCTGCTTCCTGAGTAGACAAGGAGTCCAGGCCCCACAGAACTGTGACTGACCTCGGTGCTTTGCCGTTCCCAGGGAAGGTGAAAGTTCTCCTGAAAGAACTGTGGCTCTGTGTGAACACGGCTCCCAGGCTGTCCGGGGAGAGTGGCAGGCGCGTCCCAGGTGAGAGATCCCACACTGGCTCCTCACAATGAGCGTGACAGCGTTTGCCATGGGCTGCACCGCGGCCTCCGGTGTGTAGCCAAGAGTGGGTACTGAAACTGTGTGAAGTAGTGTGACTCTAATCCCAGCAGATTGCAGATTCAGTCTGCTTTCCATAGCAGCTCTCAGAGAGCACTGGGAGGGGAGGCTTAGGCGTCTTTGGCCTTGTGTGTGGAAGACCAAGGAGTCCTCCTGTGCTACCAATAGCTTCTTTGAAGTTACTTTTATTTTCACAAAAGAATGTTAAACAGTGGGAAAACTCTCTTAGAGCTCTTTCCCAACCCTGTTAACTATGGGGTTCATGGAAATTGCACATTTTCTCACTTATACAGGATCCAGTCTCAGACTCCATTTCCCAATTCTGCTCAGGACTCTGTGCTGGAGACTGGTAACAGGATATATGTTACACTGTGACCCACTAAGGGTCGAATCCATGGTAGATCTTCCTTGCTTCCAATTTTCCCAGTGAAGTTTTTTTTTTTAAATCTCATTCCTTCTACATTTAGTTACTGGAATTCTTGCATAAAAAAGGCTGCCCCTTTCCACTAATGACTTTCTGGTCTGTTTCAAATCAGTGTAGCTCAACTGCTTCCCAGTGCATTGTAGTCCCATGCTCCTCTCTCTTCACACTTCCCAGTGCATTGCAGTCCATGCTCCTCTCTCTTCACACTTCCCAGTGCATTGCAGTCCCATGCTCCTCTCTCTTTACACTTCCCAGTGCATTGCAGTCCCATGCTCCTCTCTCTTCACACTTCCCAGTGCATTGCAGTCCCATGCTCCTCTCTGACACTTCCCAGTGCATTGCAGTCCCATGCTCCTCCCTCTTCACACTTCCCAGTGCATTGCAGTCCCATGCTCCTCCCTCTTCACACTTCCCAGTGCATTGCAGTCCCATGCTCCTCTCTGACACTTCCCAGTGCATTGCAGTCCCATGCTCCTCCCTCTTCACACTTCCCAGTGCATTGCAGTCCCATGCTCCTCCCTCTTCACACTTCCCAGTGCATTGCAGTCCCATGCTCCTCTCTCTTTACACTTCCCAGTGCATTGCAGTCCCATGTTCCTCTCTGACACTTCCAAGTGCATTGCAGTCTCACACTGGAAGCTGCTCCAGAGCAGGTCCTATGTGCCTCAGACATACTTGTCCTGCTTAGATCACTCCTCTGTTCCAGTCTCACCTTGAGTTTCTGTACCACTAACATAATCCCACTTCCCTGAAGAGGTCTGGCTCTTGTGTAAACACTTTCACAGCTTAAATGCAACAGATGGTGGTTGCCATGATGCCATGGGATCCATATTTCTTGGCTGAATAATCATTATCAGCTGAAGTTCATGAAACTCAAAACCCCCTCTCCCCAAAAAACTGTATGGTTGCCTCTTTGTCACACTGTGGTGGCAGTATTTGAGGGAGCTAGTAGGTGGCAGAGAAAGAGATCGGTGCATACAAGCTGACACAGTTTCATCTTCCAAAAGGAATCTCGAGCCAACCAATGCCAAACCTACCCATAGGCATTCTGTCCAAGGGGCATGAGACTGTTGTTGACCAGAAAGCATCTCCCAGTGTGTGGTAAGGCAGTAAGGCCTCTGTCCCTGCCTCTGTGCTTCAAGCTGGATTGTGGTGCCTCAGTGGATCCCTCTCCATCCACATCCCTGTCCCAGTCCATGAGATAATGTTACAAGTTGACTGGTGACATTTTTAAAGCTTTCTACTTATTTCAGCTTAACTTTGCTAACAGTTTGATCTGCTATCAGGATGCAGTTTGTAAGGTTTTTTTTGGCATTAAATATGTGATGCCTGCTTCTCTCCTGCTCAGAAAACCCTGCCAAAGAAAACAGTGTATCCAGAACTCCTGGGGAAGATGAGTTGCTCCCGGTGCAAGGCAGTCCTGCCAGGACCTCTGATATGCGTTCTTTCTTCACCAAGTTGTCTATGGAGATGGAGGGTGACCTGACTTCCTCTGAAAGTGTAGAAGAAGAGCAGCCCAGTGGAACGAGCCCTAGCACTGAGCATGCTCTTCATGAAGAGAGTCATCCTGAAGTCTCGGGGCAGAGGAGGCCTGGTGATGGCAACAGTGACCTCGGCAGGACCAACATCTGTGACCATGGACACTTTTTTGACGATGATCTGCAAGCTGCAATTGACTTCTTCAAACTTCCCCCTCCTCTTCTGTCTCCAGTGCCCTCGCCCCCTCCGATGACATCACCACACCTCTCTTCCTCCCTGGCACCTGTGAGTTGGCTTACTGAATTTAATTCCATGTGGATATGTTTGTACTATGCCCAAGGTATTTCAAAGGTATTAGTGTACTTAGGCAAAACTGTTCATTTTAGCCAGTTTTACTCTGAAGTAACGTCAGAAAATAAAAGGCTGTGCCATGACCCTTTGCATCAGCGTATGTGGTGTGACTTTCTTTACTGTGTACTATGGTTGCATTTTAGTATGTAGAAGATAGTGTGTATTTGTATTACTAGTGTTTAGTACATGATAGACGTGGAGAAAATGAAGTATATTCTTGCAGACATGGACTGTTTCCAGAGACAGAAAATCTCCATGTCTAATATTCCTGACCCTTTGCCCAGGAGAGTCTCAGCTTTGCGTATATCTTCAAACATTTAAAACCTGGGTGATAGGTAGACTGGGACTCAGGAGAGCATTGGTTATAGGAAAGCAGTAAGAGTGGGATCCAGCTTCATTAAAGATTGGGTAGAACAAGCGCCATACCAGAGCCTGCTCCACTCTTCACAGGTATAGTTTTGAGAATTTCTTCAAGAAGTACCCACTCTTTTAAATGTGTTTAGTTGTTGTGACAGGGTAGGTCTGCTGAGCGTCTGTATGACAGTGTGCTTTGTGTCACTTGAAGGAATCCTACTTTGGAGAATTCACAGACTCCAGCGACAGTGACTCCGTCCCACTTAGAACCTCTGTGGAATCAGCATTAGAAGAATACACAGCGGAGACTCAGCGTTACTTGGCATTGCTTGAAAAGCTTAAAAGGAGTGATACATACATGGGACAGCCCAGATCACAGGAAGTTGCCCCAGCTCTAAACAAACTGGCACCTGTTGGATTTGATACCAGAAGAGTAGCACTGGGAGAGCCCTCGGCCACATCTTCTCTAGCTCGGGGAAGGCACTGGATAGCATCCCCTGAATTTGTGAGGGATAGGAGAGACATCGTAGAAGAGGCAGAAGGAAAGGTAGAGGCCCGGGAGATGGATAAACCTGTTCGAGTTGGGAAAGGGCTGCTTAAGCATAACAGGAGACTGTGGGTGGAGAGGGCGTCCAGAGGCTCATCAAGAAAGAAGGTAGCCAGAGCTGGGGAATCAGAGGTTGGTTCTTCTCCCTTTGGCAAGAGGACATTCAATGAACTCGGAGGATCTGAAGGAAAAACCCTGTCATCAAAAGCATTCTGCTCACCCCGGTCAGAATTTACTAAATGGACACTCACCAGTGAATTTGCTTCCAAGTCACACCACGTGTTGGGCTCTGGCCGTTTTCAGAGAAAGGAAAAAGATGCGCAGGAGTCTCCTCTGGAATCGGGTGTTGGTGCAGCTGCAGCGGGGCGTGACCATTCAGCCAGTCCTCCTTCCGCTTCTACCTCTGCACCAGGGGCCCTCTACAGTAACCATAAGGCAGGTGCCCCAGACCTGCATCGTTCCAAACAAAAGTCACCAACTAGAACTTCAAACACATTTCTTCTGTGGTCTGAGCCAGCAGCACGTTTTCCAAAAGAAAATGACCCAGAAAACAGCTTGTCTGCCTTGAGCCCCAAGTCAAAATTAGGAGCATCTACATTTAGTGATCTGAAGAACAGGGGCCCGGAACCTTTAAACATTTTTAAAAGCACAGGGAAGGCACACTCAGTTCCCCAGTCAGTATTTCAAAAGCCAATGAGAGGTGGGCAGTGTGGAGGTCGAGGCCGGATTACACTGCCTAAGTCCGACTGGACTTCCTTAGCACATTCCCAGGCTGGCTTCACCAGGAGGAGCCTCAGGTCTGCTGACAGCTCGTCATGGCACCGTAGTGACGTACTAAGGAGAGGTGGCCAGGGCAACCCAGGAGCTACCTCAGAACACCAGCAAAAGACCAGGCTTCAGCCAGAGAAGGCAGGGTCAGCCTCACAGAACAGCAGATGGACAGCTGTGCTTGGACCTCCTGGAGAAAGTACCATCCCTCTGGAATTCAAAGCAGCTGCTGCTTTGCTGCCAAACCAAGTGTCAGTCATAACAAAGCAGGCAAGACCCGAGAAGATGCAGAGTAGTAACCTGGAACGCTGGCAGCCACGTGGGAGCGCACTGACTCCTTCTACAGACAGTGATGAGGAGACAAATCCATCGTTATCAGAGTGTGATGGAGATGAGGATCCCATAGCACAGGGCACTGAGGAGATAGCTGATGAGGAAAGCCCTTCTCCAGAAGTATCTCTAAGTGACTCCATGCCAGCAGAGAATTTTGGTTCTTCTACAGATAAGTTACTTTTTTCCTCTGAAGATAGCCTCATCCAGAGCCAGTGTGTCATGAAAGATCTCCTGCAGAAGCTCAGGAAGTCTCCCCACACTACACAGTCAGGTGCCAGTAGTCTGGAGGCTGAGAAGCTGCTTCCAGCTGAGGTAACATCCAGAGACTGTTCTGCTGGACAGATGCCCTGTGGAGCTCATCACCAGGCAAACACTGAGGCCCCTGTAATTGCAAGAGATTCTCGTAGTATTCCACAGAATGCCAGTACACCTCCCACAGTGCCAAGCAGGCCTCTCCTCAGAACCCAGGTCCCCACTAGCCCTGTCTGTCCTTCAGGTCTTGGGAGTGCAGATGAGGAAACACAGAGTACCTCCCAAAGTAGGCCGCTTCTCAGAACCCGGGTCCCCACCAGCCCTGTCTGTCCTTCAGGTCTTGGGAGTGCAGATGAGGAAACATGGAGTACCTCCCAAAGCAGGCCGCTTCTCAGAACCCGGGTCCCCACCAGCCCTGTCTGTCCTTCAGGTCTTGGAAGTGCAGATGAGGAAACACAGAGTACCTCCCAAAGCAGGCCTCTCCTCAGAACCCGGGTCCCCACCAGCCCTGTCTGTCCTTCAGGTCTTGGGAGTGCAGATGAGGAAACACGGAGTACCTCCCAAAGTAGTCTTCCTGGGGCTTCCTGCTGCTACACCGGCGTCAGGGAGCAGCGAGAGGACACTGAGGGAGAGGACGAGGCCTTCAGCTATAGTGAGGGAGAGCAGGAGGCTGAAGCTGTGACGGGGCGCCAACCGCAGGATGCAGCGGGAGACTCACAGAGACATTTGGGAGACCCAGAGGCCAGGGTGGATGTGGCTGGTCGTGCCTCAGATGTAGGTGATCTGACCTCAGCACTGCAGGAATGTAACTTAAGCACCTTTCTTTACATAGACAAGCTTTCTACATCAGAGGTTGTTATGTTTCTTGAAAGTTGTCAGTTAAGGGATTATAGTTCAAGGGCCTCTGTTTCAGAATGTTCTAGCAGAGGAACCCTAAATAATGAAATGAACAAAGAGTTCAAGCAGGGCGAAGTCTTCAGAGAGAACCATGGGAAGAGGTTCAGTGAAGAAATGCTCAGAGCCTCCTCGGAAGAGCGGGTCGAGTCAGAGGGAGACAACTGCCATGTCAGGAATTCAAGCCAGCATGCTCAGGGTCCGCTGGAAATGCCATCTGATATTCTCCCCAAGGCCACAGAAGAACTCCATGCAAGCCGTGGGGACTGCAGTGAGACAGATGCTGAGCATGTGTTGCTCTTAAGTACTCATCACAGCCAGGCAGCTGAAGATCGGGTAGAAAACACTCGCCCTGAGGAGACATCCAGCTCCGTGTCCCACACTGCAGAGTTGCCTGAACCAGCCGCTGTGGATGCTGGAGGCAGCTCCCCCCTAAGTGGCAGGTCTGACCCTGAGCACATTCCGAGCAGATCTGAGGATGAGACCAATTATGAGGGGTGCCCCAGCACTGGGGAGGAGGGCCTGGCAGAGCCTGGGGAGCTTCTGGCCCTGAGCTCTGACTCTCTACCTCCACCAAGGACAGAGCAGAGCTCAGACTGTGTGACAGAGACAGCATTTCGCTATCAAATCTCTGCAGTGACCTCAGAAGTTATAAGTGTACTTATAAATAAGGATCAGGACCTCGTGATTGAGAAGGGGGACAACTGGACTATCATCAGTGGCGTCGCCATCTCCCCTGGTATGGAACAAGTCGTTTTGTGTGACACTCTCGAAGCTTTTGCTCCTCAGGACCTGGGAGGCCTAGACAGTGACTATGTGGAGAAGTCCCCTGAAGCCAGTCCTGCCAGCCCTCTGCCTCAAGGGTCTCCGTGTGGTGGCGGTTTCTCTGCTGCCCGGGAGGATGTTTCCAGCAGTGGCCAGAATGCCAACTTTGATAAGAGTCGTCTTCGGAACAGACCTGTGAAGCCTAGCATCTGGATTCGTTCTCAGATATATGACCAGACGCTTGAGACCGAGAAAGTTGCATCTGATCACACATATTATAACTGGAAATTAGAACCACTTGGTAAGAATAGGACTCGATCAAAGATTTCCAGCAAAGATCAATCAAGCAAACTGGCAAAGACCCCGGGACTCACCAGAGGGGAAGTGCATCTGAATGAAGTCCCTCAGCCAGTATTAGGGGAAAGAACAAACACAAAAATGTCAGGAAGCCAAGTTCAGTCCACCATGGCAGGTGCAGATATGTCCACCCCTGCCAACTCTTCCCCTGATACTCTGAGCAAGATCCGGCAAGAAGTGGGGCCTCCATTGCCTCCTTTGCTCCCCCCACTGATAGCCACCCCTCCAAGGACATCACGGCCACTGTCTCCTCTGATACCAAGTTCTAGTCCGTCCTCACTAGCCTCACCTGCTGGCCGTGTTTCCCCCTTGCGTGAAATTGCAGGGCCTCCTGTGCTGTCTCCGTGGCCTGAGGAGCTCCAGCAGCCTTCCCCACTGGATGCCTCCCCATCCCCATCTGCTGCAGCAGCCAGCGGAAGGGTAGTGTCTTCTCCTTTGCAGTTCTGTGCTGCTACGCCAAAGCATGCGCTGCCCGTGCCTGGCCGACTCCCATCCTGTGCGCCTGGCCATGCTGCTGTGAGTGGGCCACAGGAAAACTCCGTTAAGATCCTTGACACGATGTACCCAGAGTTATCTGCCAGGGCCCGGACCCTCAGCCTCCTCAAAGGGAACATGCAGCTGTCCCGAGGCTGCTCTGTGGATGGGAAGGTGTTGCCCGGTCGCGTCAGTGCCCTGCTGGGACTCAAAGCCATCACCTCCACGTCCACTGCGTTTGTCCTGACGGGGGGCAGCTCTGGTGGTGACAGTAGCCAAGGTAAGTCACAAGACTTGGATGCACGGCAGGATGCAGGTAGGAAAAGAACATTGGCAGCATCCATGCTAAGAAGTGCTAAAAGACTGCGGCTGGAGAGAGAGTCCCCGGAGCCAAGCACCAGCCAGGTCACTGCAGAAGGCGTCCCCGAGGATCCCCCCGGAGGCACCGCACCGGCCGAGCTTGTCCCAGCTGAGGAAGAGCACACGGCTGCCCTGGTCTGCAGTCCAGCATCACAGCTGCGTGTCAACCCACGGGAGATGGCAGAGTCCTATAATACGGCCATCACTCGGGCTCTGAGGAAGATCGCTGAGTCCTCCTTTGACCTGCTGCCTGTCATTCGCAGTCACGTGTACGTGGGAAATATCTCCAGAAAGCCTGTCATGAGAGATCAAGAGAAGGAAGTTGTTTATGAATTTAGCACCACAAACAAGGTATGTGGCGGCCTTTCTCTTTGGGTGTTTAAGCAGGAGTGTCTGGCAGGGACTGGCTAGTGCAGGTGACGCTGAAGGTTACCTCTCTCAACGTTAAGGCCTCCTTATCTCTCCCCTACATCTATAGCTTAGAAATACAAGAAGACAGTGAGTCTTAACACATACAGCTAGGGAAAAATCTGTCAGAACAAAAATCTTCCATTTCCAGATGGGGCTGGCGTTTCAGGCATGGAGTATCCTCCCTTCCTGAGCGAGCCACATCAGCATCACCTGCAGTCTTTCCTCTCGTACAGTGGCAGCATTGTGGAGGCCAGTGTGCGTTTCCTGAGGACTTCTTAGCAGACCTCAGGAGCATCCCTCAGCTCCTTGTCCGGGTGACTCCAGTGCCTGCTGGATCACTCTTCAGTGGCCACTGTCACATGCAGGTGCCCTCATGCACTAAATACATTGTTTTTGATTGCTACTGTTCAGAAAGCCTAAGAGCTCAGGTGTCTTTGAGAGACTGTCTTCTGTGTGAATGGCTATCAGATTTTTAATGACAATTCTCTTTCAAGGGAAGGAAAAATAGCACCTAATCTCATAAAATCTAAATAATGGAATAAATGAAAATGGGGTAGAATTAGCCCACATGGATTCTTACCAAAGAAACAGTAAATTATAATTTGAGTGACAGCCATGTCGTCATAGGCAAGGGGGTGTATTTATAGATTTGCTGTGGTGTCTGTAACTTGACTGATCCCAAGAGGTCAGTCACAGGGAATTCTCACCTCTGGCCATCCCCTTGGCTACTGTGCTCAGTCATAGGGAGTTCTCTCACCGCTGGCTATACCCTTGGCTACTGTACTAGACAAGTTGTTATCAGTTATTGTGGCTTCCCTTTTGGTCTTATGTAAGCTTTATTTGTCTGATAGATACCTAATTAGGATTGGTTCTTGCATCACTAACCATAATTCTTTTATCTTTTTCCCAATCTAGCATTTAGGAGAATACTTACTTCGCTCTATTCTCTCAGAGCTAAAGGTTCAGAAGACATCTCTTGACCACAGTTACATCCATGCACTGTGCAGAGTATATGTGGGCATTTGTCGGCAGCTTGGAGACTTGGAAAGAGCTCGCTTGTTCTGTTACAGCCTTCTGAAAGAAGGTGTGTGCGGCTTGCAGCACGTGTATTGAACACCTGCTGTTACACTTTCACCTTACACCTGCTCCTGTCTTTTCAGCTGCTTGTATCTTTAAAAATAATGGTTTTCATCTCAGAGTGTGAGGCTAGGCTGGTCTGGAAATACTGTCTCAAAAAAGTTTTGGTGCATTGGAGGGCTTAAGTGACTCTAATATACTGGACCATGCTAGTTCTCAACTGAGTGTACTTAGACTTACTACACTGGCACATGTACTTCTGTTTGTATGTAGGTTGTCTCTCGTGGTCCACTGTATATTCACTTTATTCCTGTGTTGCACAATAATGAGAATCCTTGTACAATGACTGTCCATAGTGCTGTGTCCTGGCTAAAGGACAGTAACTGTGAGAGGGATTTGCAGCCTCGTGAAAAGAAGAACCTTAGTGATGGAGAGCAGGTGGAGGAGCAGTCCTGTCCTCACTTAACTCCCCTTCGCTGCAGCCTCCTTGTCTCCTCTGTGGATCCACATTAGGAGTCCTTTGTGACAGCAGACCATCAGTACTCATCAACAAGGAAAGATAGGAACACAGCGTAGTCTTGTACCAGGAAGTCGATGTCAATGTGCCCACGTTGTTTCTGTTCACTGGTTTGTTCAGAATCCTTCATGGGGGGCATGCCATGTGGCCATCAAGTGGCTGACGTCCGTGATAGCACAGGAACACAAAGCAGCTGAGAGGAGGGCTGTGTGGCTCAGCAAGTCAGTCCCATGGGTTTCTTGTTCTTTGTCACAGGTTCATTCAGACCACCGGCTTTGTTCTTACAAATGTCTGTCCGTCAGCATTCACTCTGATTTCTCAGGTGTCCTTAACCTCTTGTCCCATATTCTCCTGTTGTCTGTGGCACTTACCTTCCTTCCCTCTGTAGGATACAGGTCTCTCTTCCATTAGATTGTATAGTCTAAGAGGACAGATTCTTCCCACCCCAGAACAGTCCTCAGTTTACAGCCGTTAGGCATTTGTTGAGTAACTGGATTGTACGTTAGAAGGTGGATTTGGTAGTCTGGGGCAGGACTCAGGAAAGCGTCCCCTGTCTAGTGAAGAATGTGGGTCTGACCTAGGAGGGGGCATGTGGAAGGTAAGAACAGCTGTACAAAGCAACACATCAAAGTAGTGCATCAAGTTTATGCTCTACTCACAGTAATCATAGACAAGGTAGAAGAAAACTTTATTCAGACAAACAGGACAGAGCTCCTCCCATTAACTGCACTGGACAACTGGTGGTGTTTGCAAAATTATGACACTCACTACATAGTAAGAAGTACCACTTCTAGGTCCTTATTCAACAGGCGTGGAGACGTCCTTACACAGACAGTTAATCATAGTAGCCTGTAGTTGGAAACACATGTCTGTCCTTAGTGAACGGACAGGACAGCACACTGTTAACTATTGAGTAACTGAGGACTGCATAGTTGTGCAAATGAACAGACTCCTCATGCCTGCAGCATCACAGATAGAACGTGGAAGCTAGGCTGAGTGTCAGAGAGAGAGCACACAGTCATGAAAGCAGCATGTCTATCTGATTTGTAGTGATAGTAAACAGATTGAGGGTTCTCCCTCTGGGAAGGAGATATTCTTTATATATGTTACTGTTTGTCAGGTTTATTTAAAAAGAGAGAAGCCTGGAGACTGGAAGAATTTGCAGCAAAATAATTACATACATATAAAAAAACTGTTCCATGTTAGAAACTTTGTTATATTTTAAACCTTGTACAAAAATATAAAATGTAGTATAGCCGGGCGGTGGTGGCGCACACCTTTAATCCCAGCACTCAGGAGGCAGAGGCAGGCAGATCTCTGTGAATTCGAGGCCAGCCTGGTCTACAAAGTGAGTTCCAGGAAAGGCGCAAAGCTGCACAGAGAAACCCTGTCTCGAAAAACCAAAAAAAAAAAAAAAATGTAGTGTGAAAAGTATTGGCCAGGAGGAAGAGATCCATCAAAGGAGAGAGATGTTAAAACATCTTACCTCTGAATGTCTTCAGGGTCAGAATTTTCCCATTTGATACACAATATTACAAGACAATTTGTTTCCACACAGCCGTTAGCCATTTGTTTAGGTTAAAGTCTAACAGTGTGCCAGGCCAGACGTGGCAGCTCATGTTTATAATCCCAGCACTTGGGAGATTGACCAGTCTGAACTTCAGAATGAGACCCGTCTCAAAACAGAAGAGAACCTAAAGAAGTACCCAAGACGGAGACATTGGAGACCGGAGCCCCCTCGCCGTCTACTTAAGCCTATAGCTCTGGGTGCCTTGTGGGGCACTTGGGAAGTAAAAGTCCATGCCTACTTTTTAAATCAGTTTCCTAGGTGAGACATAAAGGCTCTTTTTACCCCTCTTTCTTACAGATTTTCCAGAATCTGAGAAGTTGACTCTGTTCATTGCCAACATGTGGCGTGAAGTGTTTCTCTCCCAGTCAGCTGTTAGTGAGGCCATGCAGCTGGTCGCCCGGCAGCGGGCCAGAGGAGAGGTGCTGAACTGCCTGAGGGCATTCCTCAGCTGGGAAAAGGTGCAGTTTGCTTTTTATTCTTTTCTGTCATACTTGGAGAATGAACATAAATGTTACTGTGCAGGCTTGTGTTGCCTTTTGTTCAGGTTCTTCAGCATTTTAAAGATACTTAATGTTTGTGTGTCCTGTCCGTACATATGTTCTCAGTGTGTGTGTGGATGTCAGATCAACCACAGAACCCTGTTCTCTCTTCCACTGTGTTGGCTCTGGAAATCAGCCTGAGTTCCTGAGGCTCCGTGACAAGTGCCTACCTGCTGAGCCATCCCACCAGCTTGTTCTTGGGCATTTTAGAGATATGATTCTTCACAGTAGATCCTTTAAAACATCGTCTTAGTCTAATTTTAAGCAGTTTATTCATTAAATATCCATGACATCCCAGGAAAAATTCCAGACCTCCAAAATGTATGAAGTTAACACTAATTTATGACTGAAATCCATGGGTCTGTGATCTGCTGAGACAGGACTGTAAGGTACTTGATTCTGCAAAAAGTACTTAGGTAAAAGATTGCTAGCCTCAGCTTCCTCCTGTTAGGAGTTTCTGTGAATCTCACCATCTTCATCATTATTTCCAGTTGATGGGACTTGATTTTATTCTAAATACTTTCTTTTTACATTAACCTTTTATTGTATTTTTTTCTTTAATTACTGGTTTATTAAAGTAATCTTCAGATTGACACTTGCTTAGTCATAGATCTCATCTAGTGAGAATCTAGTGGACAATAATAAACTATGAAAATAGATGCTGAAGTTGGTGTAGGGTTTATTTTTATCTTGTTCTTTTCTGGTTTTTATGAGCATGCAATACTTCAATGTTTTAGAAAATTCCCTATAGTTTATATGCATACCATTGTACTTTCCTATTATTCTTTGAGCTAATCTGTATGAGGCTTTATATTTATGAAAGGAAGGGAACACAAGTTTGTAACCACCACTTTAGCAAACAGCAAGGCACAACCCTGGTCTGTGTGGCTCATGCCTTTAATCCCAGCACTCAGGAGGCAGAGGCAGGTGAATCTCTTTAAGTTCAAGGACAGCCTGGTCCATGTAACAGTTCTAGGAAAGCCAGGCTACATAGAGAGACCTTGTCTCAAGACGAACAAAACATACACATATGCACACACTGTTGCTAAAGTTTCCCTGCCTGGCCCACAGTCAGGGCAAATCTCTCTCACCTGCCAGTCCCACAGCCATCAGACCCAACCAAGTAAACACAGAGACTTATATTGGTTACAAACTGTATGGCCGTGGCAGGCTTCTTGCTAACTGTTCTTACAGCTTAAATTAGTCCATTTCCATTAATCTATACCTTGCCACATGGCTCGTGGCTTACCGGCATCTTCACATGCTGTTTCTCATCATGGCGGCTGGCAGTGTCTCTCTGACTCAGCCTTCCACTTCCCAGCTTTATTCTCCTCCTTGTCCCGCCTACACTTCCTGCCTAGCCAATGGCCAATCAGTGTTTTATTTATTGACTAATTAGCAACACATTTGCCATACAGAACATCCCACAGCAACACACAGCTTTTAAGTTGGTGTCATGGACTCTACTAAGTTATTTGGTCCTGAGTGGAGAGGGCACAGCACTTGCCCGGCCTGCACAATGTCTTAAGTTCCATCTCAGCATCAAATAACTAAATAAAAAGGGGGGCAGGGATAAAAAGAAAAGGAGAGAAATGAAAGTTCCAGATGCAACCAGAAGATACCACACTCATCCCCTCTGCCCTCGTCCTGAAGCAGTGCACCTTATATAAGATGCACGTGACTAGAAGTGTTTGAGATTCAGAATTGTTTTTTCCCCCGAGTTTGAAATCCTTGCGTGGATTTTATACATTGAATGTTCCTGATCTGTAACTCTGTAATGCTCTGAGTGTAAGTCTTTTTGAGGACTCTGAACTTCCATGTAAGATAACCCTGTCAGAGCTGCACAGTCTGAGCTGCCACACCAGGAAGGATTTCTCCAGCCTGTCATGGCCAAGCTACCTCCATGTTCATTCCATGGAGTTGACAAAACCCACAGAAAGCTTCTGTGTGGAAAAATAGTGACTTGGTATAAGGTAGTACATGGTTTTAAGGCTTAAAGTTCAACCAATTTTTAAAGCTTTTAGCTTTGTGATTCTTGTTTTATTCATAAATCAGGTAATAGTTTAAAAAGTACGAGTGACCATACTTTGACCATTGATTAGTGTGGTGTTAAGGCACATCCAACAGATTACATCTCCTAAACAAACAGTCTTTATAAACGTGAATCATTTAGTTATCAATATTTTAAGTAATCATAAATGATGTATTCCTCAGAAGCCTCATACTGGACCTTCAGCTCTAACAAGTAGAATCTTGTTAAGCCTTTAACCTCTGAATGTTAAAAGTCAAATTGATCTTACCGTCACTGGTAGGATCAGAATCCATCCCTGGTGCATGAGCGGGCTTTTTGGAGCCCACTACCTATGGTGGGACACCTTGTGTAGCCTTGAGGCAGGGGGAAGGGCTTGGACTTGCCTCTACTGGATGTGTCTCCCCATGGGAGACCCCTGCCTTCTTGTGGGGGACAGTGGGAGGTGGGTTGGGAGAGGGAGGCTGGGGGGCAGGAGGCAGGAAGAGGGGGATCTTTGATTGGTGTGTCTTATGAATGAAAAAAAATTCTTGATTAAGAAAAAGTCAAGTTGAGAATATGGAATATGAATTGCATTGAATGTTTGTTTTCATAATGGAGTCTGTCTTCTAGACATTATAATTCATCATGCCGTTACCAGATACTTTAACCATAACTACAACCTAGACTGAGAATCCCAGCATTTTCCATAATCAGTACTGCTACACACTCTTAGCACAGATCAATGTGACTAGATGTATCTGAATTTGTTTCTGCATCTTCTCCAGACTTCTCCAGGAAAATGTACTCTTGGAAACCTGAGAAGTGTCAGTAGCTCAAACAGTTATCCAAGCTCAGGCTTTGTTCTGTGTTGATCTGAACCTGTGTTTGCCCCCAGGACTGTCTTGCAGTACTGGTGGGATGCTGAGCAGTTCAGCCTTGTTGAGGGTTGCATGGTTCGCAGAGTTCCCTGCAGTCCCACCCCGGCCCTTTTAGGGAAAGGAAACTTTTCACAACAAAAGACATGTGAATGTTCAGAGAAACAAACTAGGTACAATCTGGTATGCTCTTTGTGGAGAGACATGATGCCCTCAGTCAGTGGTGTGTCCATGTGACTTATTACTCAGTGGGAAGAGGAGTCCTTGAGCTGCTCACACAGGTGAGAACACAGAGCCGAGAATGTTGTCCTCAAAAGTGAAGGAAGCTGGCTGTCATCATCCAGTAGCTGTGGAAAGGACAGATTGATCAACCTTCGCAGAAGGCAGCAGGATTTATGGCATTTGAAGTGCTAGTCTGCATGTTATACCCTTAGTTTCCTGGTTGTGCTGACTGCAGTCTGTGCTTCTGTCTGGACTGCAGCTCAGCTCTCTGACTGCTGGGGATGGTGGCCCCAGCGGCTCTGGTTGTGACTACTAGTTTCTAGTTCAAACTCAGTCTGCTTCAGTTACCCTTAGGGTCAATGGCAGTTTGCCAGATGCTTGTTACAGTCTCAGATTGCTAACATCCTAAGATGTTGCTTTTTAATATGTTTATTTTTGTTTGCCAGAATGCTCCTATAGATGTTGGAATCGTGGTTTCTAAGCTGCTTTTGACCATACAGCTATGCCCCAAAACAGAATTTCAGTCCAGTGAAGAATTTGGTGAAGACTTAAGTACAAACATTTGGGAATACATATTTGCCATTGATCTCCTCTGCTGCCACCAGAGGTGGATTTGGACACATGATAACATCATAAGGTGAGCAGCTTTGCTGATTTAAAGTAAAGCTGGGTTAAGGGAAGATAACGTGTTAATGCTGGAGTGTGACTTAGTTGTGTTTCTTTCTTACACAAGGCACTTGAAATACAAATAACTTTGCTTTGTATAAGAGTTAACAAAAATACCCCTAAAATATCTGAGTAACCATTAAATCCCCCTGTTTTGTTTCTTGTATATTGCTAGTACTTTTCAGTACTCCAGTAATGTCTCTCCAGAAGTGACTGGAGCACGAGGGCCTATGTCTCCTCACCTCTCCGGAATGGCACGGACACAGGCACCTCAGAGACACAAGTTAAGGAGGTGCCACACTTGGCACCTTCTTGTACCGACAGGCTAGAAAACAAACGGGAGGAACAGTATTGCGCAGATTCCGAGTCAGCCGCTCCTCTCTAGGAGAGGGTGGACCCTGGCTCCCAGACAGCCCCTGAATCTAGTTTGCTGAGCTCTCTCTGCTTGTCTGTTTCTGGATCTCACCATGCTCTATCTCTTGAGAGAGGAGAAAATTGTCCCCCAAATTTAAAAAAAAAAATGTGTTTGAACTCCGGCTGAGAAAGCCTGTAACAGAGGATATGGTGTTAAACCACTCACCACACAGTTGGTGACTTGTGTCTTTGAAATACTTGGTTTCTGTGAGAGTCACCTTTGCAAGGAGCTGTCTGTGCAGGAGAATCTCGTTTTCACTGTCCTGATCCAGGAAAGACAGACATGAGTCTTACAGTGAGAACTGACACATTTCCACTTTTAGAGTGATCACTACGTCAAGGTGATTGTCTGTGAGGAGGTCCGTGTGTTTACATAGAGAAACATGTTACAGCCAGTCCTACATAAGGAAATGACAGAGTTCTGCCTCGTGCCTGTCTGAGGATGCATGAGCCCAGGTGGAATGCTTAGATGAGCTCAGGGAGGCGGGCCATTCTTTCCCAGGAACAGAGGAGGGACCCGAGCTGGCACCTGTCAGAATGCTCTGTCCTTGTCCTCTCAGTGTCTGCAGATCCTGTTCTTCCTGCTTCTTACTGTGTTCTCTTGCTCTGTCATCTGGAAACAGAAAGGGGTTGGGGGCTGGAAAGAAAAGCCAGAATTACAGGAACAGTCCTGTGGCATTGTCTGGTACTCTCTGCACAGTGACCAGCATGTATCTATCTTGTCATGTTGTTTTCTAGTAAGGAGCTGTGGCCTGTAATGGACAAGTGGATCAAGTACAGGAAAGGACATTCGAACATTGCATACACCCCTGATGTCATCGTAGCGTCTGTACTGAGACTGATCGGTAAGTGTGTGTGATTGTTGTCGCCCTTGTGCTTAGGATCTTGGTGGGGACTAAGTATACGAACACACAGTGTCTGTTCACACTGTCGAGTATACGATCACACAGTGTCTGTTCACACTGTCGGACTGGTGTGGACTAAGAGTATACGAACATACAGTGTCTGTTCACACTGTTGGACTGGTGTGGACTAAGTATACGAACATACAGTGTGTTCACACTGTCGGACTGGTGTGGACTAAGAGTATACGAACATACAGTGTCTGTTCACACTGTCGGACTGGTGTGGACTAAGTATACGAACACACAGTGTCTGTTCACACTGTCGGACTGGTGTGGACTAAGTATACGAACATACAGTGTCTGTTCACACTGTCAGACTGGTGGGGACTAAGAGTATACGAACATACAGTGTCTGTTCACACTGTCGGACTGGTGGGGACTAAGAGTATACGAACATACAGTGTCTGTTCACACTGTCAGTAGTGAGGTTTGTGCCTCACTGCTCTCCTTACTTTTTCTCTTGTTACACCGAATCCTTTAGCCATCTCTGTCAGACTAAGATGCTCCATATAATTCTAGAGGTGATGTGAACACATACACAGAGGTTTATAAATTGCTACCAAGTGTATTGTGGTCTTGTTCAGTGTCTAAATATCATCATGGACCTGCAAGATGACGTAGTGTGCAAAGGCACTAGCTGCTAAGCTTGAGGGCTTCCATTCAGTCCTCAGGGGCCACAAACTTGGATCCCTTCCTATAAGCTATCCCAATTAGATGTCTAACAAGAGTCACTTCAGATTATTGTAGAAACTAAAGTCACTGTTTGAGAATGCTCTGAGACCCAGACTCCTCACTGTAAAATCTAGAGCAGGTCCTTAGATTCCTCCCTGGAACCTCAAGGTTTTAGTTTTACTTATTTGCTCCTCTTTGCTTGACCTGTGGCAACCTGCTGTCCACTCCTTCCGGATCATCAGTAATGCTTTCTGTCCATCAACAACCCTCATCCTTTGTTTGACCTGTAGGTGTCCTCCTTTCTGAGGGACACAAACCAAAGCCACCCTGGTCTGTTCAAAGAACTCTTTGGCTAATTAAACTTCAAAGGCAATACTGTTGAAAATAATGTTACCATTTGAGAATGTGCTATGTGAATAAACCTTATAAGTACATAGTGAGAAATACAATGTCCCTGCTGATTGTCACTGTCTACAAATGTGTGTCTTCCTCCTCGTGAACCTCACCCAATAGTTAGTCCTGCTGTGCTTAGAACATGTATAAAACATCTAAGACAGAAACTTGACTCTGGGTTGGAACGTACCTTCATGGGAAGTAAGTAAAAGTGTGTGTGGTATTATGTTACCTAATAAGGAAAGGTGAGAACCAATAACAGCCAGACTAGAGAGTCACGAGAGCCAAATCCAAGGGTGGATAGGCACAGGCACGGTGATCCCATGCACCTCTAGGGCGATCTCAGATGTGCTTTGTCGAGTTCCTTGGTTGGTGACTGCTGTATCCTAGAGCAGGGGGAAGAAGTAGGAAAAGGGCCTGTGCCGGGGCCAGTGGTGGTGGTGGTGCTCTCCCTCTGCTGTGACCAACTGCTAAAGTGGAGAGTGTACGGAAATAGGAAAGCTGTTTTCAGCTTGTCAGTGTCTGCTGACCTGGGTGGTTCACACGGGAGGAAGCGCACTTGCTGATACGGTGACAGCAGGGATAGTGTCTTTCCTGTTGTGGTTATTCATAAAGCTCAGGTGTGTATGTGGCATTTTCCCTGGAAGGTGACTTTATAAAGCCACACTTGGTGTGTGCGTGCGCACATCAAGTGCGCAACTGTGTGTGCATACCTGTGTGCACATATGCTTGTGGGGGTCAGAGGACCCCTCGGGTGTCATGTCTGGGATGTCATCTACTTAGTGGGTTTTGTTTATTTTACTTCTGGGTTTTTGAGACATTTTCTCTCACTGGACTGAAATTTGCAAAATTATCTAGGTTACCTGACTATCAAGATCCAGGGGTCCAGCACTAGGGTTGCAGCACCCCTAACTGTGAGTTCTGGGGATCACACTGAGCCACACTTGAAAATGGGGATTTTGATGTTCTTGTTACAGCGATTGTGTTCTGTGTGTGTTACTGCAGTGAGAGGGGCAGTCAGGTGGAATGCGGTTTTGGTGGTTGGTGGTCTTGTGCCTCTGTGGTTCTTACAGGAGGGGCAGCTCCAAACTGCCCAAGAAACTTGTCCTGTCCTAAGATAGAGAGCAAGGCTCTGCTGCTTCTCCAGCTGGTTCTGCACAGCCTCCCAGGGAAGCTTGTCTTGAGGAAGATGGGGAAGTGTCCAGTTGCTCTGAACAGGACAACAGGCACTTTGGGTTCGATGTCACCAAATGTTTTCAGACCAGCTACTCATATTATGTAAGCGCTTACACTAAAGGTGCCTCATGGAAAGGCTAGTTCTCTAGTGAGCCAGGAAGAACATGCTGGAATTTTTATCCCAGAGCCAGAATACCAGCAATTGTAGGGACAAAACTCCATTTGTTCTTTTGTGAAATTAAGGTGAGTTTATTTTTTAAATCTTAGTCTTCTGGCTTTCAAGAGAGAGTGATTTAGAGTAATGTATTCTTAAATAATAGTTACTATAATTGTTATGGACAAGAATTATTTATTAATACATACCAGGCAGTGCCATATAATGATAATTCATAAATACATAATATGTACTTTGAAGAGTGGATAGCCATCTTCAGTCCAGATTATGTTCTGTAATGAAAAACAAGCTTTCTGTCCGTGTGCAACACAGTATAATACTGAACTGAGCAGTAAACATGGCTGTTAGCCATATTCAGTTCTTAAGCAGAATTTGCTCCAGCACACCTTACCAGTATTGTGTTGGAGATCATCCAGGAAGGTGAGGGAGGACCTGATGTGCCAGGGGTTTGCAGATGTCTTAGAGCTGAGGCCTGCAAAGCTTGAGCTTTGGACAGAGCCACTGACTGAGGGTGGCAGAGCCAGGACAAGTGTGTGCAGCACGAATTGTTAGAAGGTCTTATTAATAAAAACAAACCCAGTGCCAGGTATTGGGGTGAACGCTGGAAGATCAGAGAAGCAGAACAAGCCACAGCCAACCTTACCTCACCAGTTCCTCACCTGATCTCGTTTCCTCAAACTGGAAGCCTCTGAGTCCTCATCCGAATGGATCTCAGCTTAACTGCTGCTCAAAATCCTAAAAGCTTAACCCAGCTGTAGTTCCTGGTCCTCATGCCTTATATCCCTTTCTGCTTCCTGCCATCACTTCCTGGGATTAAAGGCGTGTGTCACCATGCCTGGCTGTTTCCAGTGTGGCTTTGAACTCACAGAGACCCAGGCGGATCTCTGCCTCCAGAATGCTAGGATTAAAGGCTTGTGTGCCACCATTTTCTGGCCTCTATGTCTGTCTAGTGGCTGTTCTGTTCTCTGACCCCAGATAAATTTATTATGGTGCACAATATATTGGGGAAACACAACATCACCACAAGTGTGGGTGAGAAGTAGGGGAAAAACAGCAGCTTCTCCTTGGGAAGAGGCCATCCCACCAGGGGCGCGGGGGCAGTGGGGAGAGGGGCGTCTTCCCCTCAGGTAATCAGTCACTTGAGGATAAACACCCACTGACCCTCTGAGAGCTTACCTATCGTTGATTCTAGAGCCAGTCAAATGGACAGCTGCGCTGTTGGGGTCCACAGAGGTTTCCTAGTGAGATCTGAGCTTGCTTTATACAGCAGGGCTGCATAAGGGGATGGATTGACCACGTGCATGGTCACCAGGTGTTTGCAAGGGTCTGCACTTGGCTGTGCTGGGGGAAGGTCTTTTGCTCCACCCCTTGGCATTCCTTTAAAAGCCCTTTAGCAGAGACAGAATGGGCCAGTGGGTTTTGACTTGGCCCCTCCCGAGGCTATTCTGTGTTTCTATCTGTCTCTCTCTCTATTTCTATCTAAATATTCTCACTTCTCCCTGCTCATGAGTACCCTGGGGGAAAAAGTGGAGTCAGGCCTCCCACACTGCACTTACCCATTATTATGACATTTGTAGTTAAAGATCATGGTACTTCCGAAACAAAACCAAGGGGCATGGATGGCATTGCCTTCTTGGAGTCTTTTTCTTAAATCTTCATTCACCCTGTGCTGTGTTGTCTGGGGTGAGCGAAAGAAGTGACTCTTAGTGGGGCGGTGGTGGTGACGCCTGTAAGGCCAGCACTCGGGAGGCAGGTGCCAGCAGAGCTCTGAGTGCCAGAACAGCCGGGGCTGCACACAGAAACCCTGTCTCAGAGAAACGAGGCAAAAAAGGAGATGACTTGTACAGAAATGTCATTGACGAAAGTGGAGAATGTGAAGAGTGTTTCAATGGCCATTTCAGGTATTTCCAGATATCCTCTTGGTTTTTCCTGAGATGGGGTCTTGTGGCTCCTGTTGAAGTAGTAAGTTCTTGAAGTTAGTTGTGAAACCTGAAATTACCAGTTCAGCTTTCATGGTAAAGAAACCCATTTGCCCACTTTCAGTTGTGATATGCAATGTTCCCCTGGAAGCAGTTGGTTAAACACATCTTCCAGATGTCATCACTACCCAAAATATACATACAAGGTCATGCTTAGAGGGGAACTTAGTATTGGCGAGCTCCCAAGTGAAGGTGGCTGGTGGAAGTTGTCAGTTCTGCCCTTGACTCAAAGCTCCCATGTCACCCTTGCCCATGGTGGTGACTTCAAGTTGTATTTTGTATTTGAGAACACATCTCCCTTTACCAAATGGCTCTGACTTACTGGTGAACATGGCATGGGACAGGGTGCCTGGCTGCACTCAGGACTCAACTTTGGGCACACTTGACAACAGCCTGTGTGCTCAGTGTGCTGTTTTACATGCACTCCTGTGACCTCCCATGTCACACGTGTGTGCACCACGATCCAGGTTGGATGCAAGTAGCTGTGCCTGCTCCTCAAGCATGTGTTTTAGTGACACTGGCATAAGCACTAACTGGGGAGAATCGCCCCGTCCAGTGGGACCCGCTGTCTTTTCACTCAGAGCTTGTTGTGTTAGTGACAGGCCTTTTGACTGTGGCTGCTGCTCTGCTGTCACAGTTTGTCAGTGCGGCCATAGCCTTCCTTCTCTGTTAACCTCGTAAAGTTACCTGTCTCACGTTTTGCCTGTGGTGACCACTATTTAAATCCCATTGCTGCATTGCCACCTGTCTTAGTTAGCAAAAGCACCTAAGGCGCATCATGCTTGAGCTCTACGGCCTCCACTGTCTCACTGAATGCTGGCTTCCGCTACAGTCCAGGGTCTTCAGGCTTAGACTGTACCGTGTTAAATGGAAGAAAACATGAATTTACAGTTTCTAGGAAGTATTATCCAGCATTTACTGAATTCTACTTATACTGTATTTTGTTTCTCCAGGTCGATTAGGCCAGTTGGGTTTGAAGGAAGGATTTCCAACTGCCGTGAAGAATATCAGCTCGGTTATTGGTATGTTCATACAACATGCTCAGGATGAAGGTAAGACTGGCTTTCGTGTCTCTTAAGCTGTTCTCCTGCATGTCGTGAGGACATGAGCCAATGCCCCTCCAAACTGATGATCATATGGTTTTGGTTTTCATAGTGTATTGTTTCTGCAAGGGTCAGTTTGCGCTATTGAGCTGTACGTCCTTGAAAGAGGGAACTCTGCTCATGGGGCTGGTACCCGGCCATTCAGGAGGCATTTTGAGGATGGCTCACCACCTCTCACCCATGCATAAGCACAAACACCTGCTGCTTTCTTAGGTAGGTAGTGTGCTAGTTAGTTTTATGTCAGCTTGGCACAAGCTGAAGTCATCTGAGAGGAGGGAACCACAGTTGAGAAAATGCCTGTGAGGCTGCCTGCTGCAGCTGCATCTTCAGGGAAAGCAGCAGGACAGGATGAGGTGAGTGCCCTGCAGCGGAGTGGGCCCATGTGCTGGCCATTTATGGATTTCATGGCATGAGATTTAATGTCTTACTCTTTTGTGGGAGAAGCTTACTCAGAGTAACACTTGCAACAGTGGGTCTGGTTTCTGTTTGAATATTGAGCAGTCAGTGATAATGTAGTTAAACAGCTTCTCACTAGATAATGCAGACTGGCAGCCTAGACGCCTCCTGGCCCTGGGCTGATCCTAGCCTGGCGGGTCTTTGTCTTCAGCCATTGGTGAGAGGCCTGATGCGCCAGGCCTGTGGACAACAGCCTGTAAATGCTTTCTCCAAGGCGCTCTGACCAGGTACTTAAAGTGAGAAATCCTCAGGAGTCTGCTTGAGGAGCACTAGGAAAATTTATTAGGACAAATTTTGGAAATACACTCAGGAATACAGAACTGAGTAGACAGCTGAGGACGTCCTCTGATCTGACCGGGAGTCAATCCACCTGGCAATTCAGTCACACCGGGAACAGGAAGCAGGGAGAAGGGTCTCGTGACCCCTCTCCCTTTCCTTTTAAGAGGTCAAGTACAATGGCAAGAAGCACCGCCTCCTTCGGGCCCTTTAGCCCGAGGTCATGGTCGGAGCAAATACCATTGCAGGTCCTAAGGCATTGTCTTCTGCTTCATGTGAAAATGCTCTCGACAACAGTTTTGGTGTGTCTTGGCATACAAAAAGTAGTCAGGATCATAGCCGATGAGTCGTCTTGCCAACACACGCAGCCTGGACTGTTGCGGTTGCAGGTGTAACTGAGAAGTCATATATTGTGGGACACTGCCCAACCTCATTACATGCGTCCTAGACTCCGTGGAGGTAGAGCAGCACTGTCCTTGTTTCATACTCTAAATCATAGAGGGAAGAGTCTGTTGGTGCAGGCCTGTGTGCTGCAGTCTGGGAAGTCTGCACTGGGTTACAGGTGCATGGTTAAGGCTGTTCTCAACGCCTCATTCCTATCTCCCTGAGCCCGGGCCCCAAAGGGAGCCATAGTCTATGCTTTTCTTGAATCTTCAGATCAGGAGAGAAACCTTTTAAAGAATCAGTTCTCCTATACAGTAGAACTAACATTTAGACACATGGATTTCTCTGGTGTTTGTCTCCTGCTTGAGGAGCGGAACCTTCAGAACTGCCCTTGGCAGAGAGTGAGCATCACTCCTATTCCAAAATCTAAAACTTTCTGGGCACTGACAAAATACTATAGCTATAAAATTCCATGCCAAGAAACTGCCTAGTGCATGAAATTATTACAGTGCTGTGCTAAATTACCTTTACTATGTGTGGAAGGCATACAGGGCCATAAATGAAAGTCCTGGTTGGATGAGGATGTGCGTTGGAACGAGGGGCGCTCAGCCTGAGATTGTGCTTTGCCTTCTTTACCCCGTCTTGCTCATAGAAAGTGGAAGATAGAGGGTGTGGTTGATAATGAACTTTTGCTCCTCAGTCATTTAAATTTTAATGAATGACATTCACTAAATTATGAATTAATAAGCTATATTTTAAAAATTAAGTTTTTGCCACGATAGGGATAATAGCTGTATGACTAAACTAGCTCTGACACAGGCCTGAAGTTACAGTGGCCTTAGAGTCACACTGGCCTGGAGTCAGATTGTCATAAGAGTCATACTGGTGCCGGGTGGTGATGGCACACACCTTTAATCCCAGCACTCGGGAGGCAGAGACAGGCAGATCTCTGTGAGTTCGAGGGCAGCCTGGTCTACAGAGTGAGATCCAGGAAAGGCGCAAAGCTACACAGAGAAACCCTGTCTCGAAAAACCAAAACAAAACAAAAAAGAGTCACACTGGCTTGTAGTCACATTGGCCTTGGAATTTCACTGTCCTAGAGTCACATTGGCCTTAAGTCACACTGACCTTAGAATCACACTGGCCTTAGAGTGACACTGGCTTGAAGTTACACTGGTTGTGGCGTTTCACTGGCTTCAGAGTCACACTGATCTTGAATTCACATTGGCATGGGGTCACACTAGCCTAGTATCAAATTAGATTGAAGTCATATTGGCCTTAGGGTCACACTGGCCTGGAATCACACTGGCCTTGGAATTAGACTGGACTGAAGTCACACTGGCCTTGGAGTCACACTGGCCTGGAGTTTTACTGGTCTGCAATCACACTGACCTTAGAGTCACACTGGCCTTAAAGTCACAGTGGCCTGGAGTCACACTGGCCGAGTCACAGTCTCATCTGCTGTCATTGTGGCACAGGATAGGCTTTTATTTAGTCTGTTTTGTTTTGATTTTCATGTCTGTGTCCATTTAGAGACAGCACTGGAGGATGTTTGAGTTTTATGCTAGTTGGTTGTTTCAGGATCCATGTGTTTTCACAGCTTCATGGGGCAGAGGAGCTCCAAAGTCCTATGACAGCCATTGCTCAGATGTACAGGGAGCTCTTTTAGCTTTCATTTTCAGACAGGTCTTGAATGAACTTTTTTATTGGGAGACATTTTTCTTTGGAATTTTCATTGCTGGCAGAAAATAATCCATGTCTTAGTAAGTCCTCTAGGTCACACATGGAGATTCGGAATAACATGTTTTCTTTGTTGCTGTGTTATAACTGATTGACTTTCTTTTCAGATATCCCATGGGGTGTTCAGCTTGCAGCTGTTTATGCCCTTTGTGACTTGAGTCCTAGCAATCCAGCAGAGACAGCCAGGATCCTGGAAGCTTGGCGGACACAGACTTCCAACACTATTCCATCTGCAATCGTCAGCTGCCTGGAAGAAGTTGGATCCCTGAGTGTTGAGCGCTCAGCTGGCTCCACAAGTTCAGGAGACTCTGCACCCTGAGAGCTGGGGGTTCAGCTCCCTGAGATGAGAAGGTCACCTGAAGGTCATGGTCACTGTGCAGAGAAGTGCCTTGACACCTCTTGTTGTGAAGGATTAACCTGCCTTTAGCTAACTGAGGTCCAGCAGAGGAAGGCATACAGCAGAGGGCAGTGCAAGGCTCTCACGTGGACTGTGTACAGACGGCAAGTCTGAGGCGGCAGCAGAGCCCTGTGGGCTCTGCACAGGGACAGCCCTGTGGGGTATGTGCGTACAGACAGTGCTGTCTATGATGTGTCTCACATTGGATGATATTCCACTTTCGGAATTTTTGTATTTGTATATAGAAATGGGTTCAATAACTCACTGTGATTCCGATTTGTCTTATATTCATCATTTCTTAAAACTCTTGTATGTGTTTTTATAATAAAAAATAAAAGCAAGCCATATACACTGTTGTTCTGATTAGTTATGTGTGATGCTCAGTATCTCATGTCTAGTGGGGATGAAGATGTCTCCCCAATTATGGAGTCAAATGATTCTCTGTAGGCTTCGCTGATCTTTTATAATTGATGCTTGTAAAATCGCATTGACAATGATTCTGGTGACTCACCCTGTTCATTAAGTAGCTTTCACAAACATGAATGAGCGGTTGCTCCTTTGGAAGCTCTTCTCTACTGCCTCCTCCTGCCTGTGCTGTAAGCTGGAGTGGGGTGCCCAACAAGCCTGCGGAGACATTCTCAGCTCTCTGACCTGTGACTGAGAGAAATCTAAGTTATCACCCACTCAACCTGTGTAAAGTGAGTGCAGAGAAGGGACAGAGATGTCAACATGAGATATGTGGGTCACCTGAGGAGGTGAGCGTGGAAGGACCCAGATGGAGGGCATCAGCCTAGAAGAGGGAATGGTGGCATCCTTCCCCGTGCCGGAGAAGCCCTGCTGAGTGCTAGAAAGTGCCTGGTCCCAACGGAGAGTGAGTGTCCCTGAGATCCTGCTTGACAGCAGCCGGCAGAGCTAGGGCTGGACCACAGGTCTTTGTGGAATCCTGGGCTCCAAAGGTATGATGGCGGCGGCTGTTCACTGGGGCTGCTCTAGGGGAGAGGAGGCTCAGCAAGTACAGAGGAGAGCAGACTGACCAGGACCTCACTGCCCGGGGCCTCGGGACAGGTGCAAGGCACTGTAGGTGGCCGTGCAGGTGGGCAGGGGAGATGGATTTCAAGCCTGACCCAGGGGCAGGAACAACATGCTGTTGAAGTGTCTGAGGACCAGGTACTGAGCCACTAGGTTAAATGGCCAGGAATAAGTACACAGGCTTGTTGGTGGGAGATCATAAATGTATGCTTTCCCTTTGCTTGGGGAACAAGATGTCCAACCATTGGTGGCCTGGAGCCTCCATAAGCAAAATTGTATTAGAGGTCAGGGCAGAGATTTGGGGAACAGTAGCTGATGGAGGCAAGTGCTTCCTTGACTTATCTATATTCAAAGCACCCCATCTCCCTTCCCCTCCCCTTTGTCTCATCTCTTTCTGCTCATCTAGAGAGAACAGTAGCTTCCCCTAGGTCCACCAGGATGCAGTGTCCCTGTGCTAGATAAGGAAGTGAAGCATCGATGGTGAGATGGCCTGTTGAGATAGAGCAAGCAGGAAGTGAGACCAAGGGGGCAAGCTTTGCATGTGTAGGGTGTCCAGTGGTTGAGCACCTCTGGAAGTTTCTGTGGACAGTGGCATTTTCCAGTCTAGTCGCACCAGCTCCAACTCTGGCTGCCATACTTTTTCTACCCGTGGCACACCTACAAGGACAGAAGCCGCCTGTAGTGCTGCATGGCTCTGTCAGGGTGAGGCAGCTCCAGGCTGATACTGGTACCCAGCAGAATGCAGGCGGAGGCTTTTATCATCTGAACTGAACGGTGGAGCTGGGTGGAGTCACATGGGCATGACTGCTGGTCCTCTGTGGTCGGATGTTGACCTGTCAGGAGTAACAAGGTCATGGTGTAATATGTCCTTGAAGCTGTTGTACTGGCCCAGTGAAGGTGGCCATTTTGTTTTTTCCTCATTATTTGTATAAAAATAAAATGTGGCTGTGCAATTTATCAGATGCAATTGTGGCAGGGGGATGTTTTGAATTGTGGCCACCAGGGGGTGCCACAGACCAGCGCATGGGCAGAGGCGGGCTGCTAGCAGTCTGACCATCAGGAAAGCCCTTTTTCGCTCCCAGGCGACTAGTTTGCCTGGCTGGGCCCATTATTTCCACAGGATGTGGCAGGTGGAGGGGGTGCATGACAAGGAAACAGGTACCAATAATTTTTAACTGTTCAGTCAAATCCTCTGGTGATGTCTAAAAATAATCATAAAATAAAATGCTTTGGGGTAAAAGCAAACGTGTCCAGGTGGGTTAGTGGCTGTGGCAGTGACCGGGGTGGGCAGGGCAGACGTGGCACTCTGGCCTGACTTGTGAGCAGCATAGAGCCATGCAGAGGACAAGGGCTTCTCATCAGTCTTAGACATGCACTCCTGTGGGAAGCATTTGGAGTGTGAATAGCAGCTATAAATGTGAGTTATCCACTTGGTTCCTCGAGGCAGAGAGAGGCAACGATTTTAATGAGATGGTTCTAGAGATGGATTTTCTAGAGCCAGGGAGGAACCAGTGTGTAAGCCATTTCCTTTCTGCTTCCATCTACCTGTCAGCCACTTCGATGAGTGTGATTGTGAACACTGGACATTCCCTGTCCCGCCTTCCAAACAAAATATTAGCATGTTTTTATATCAAGAGATTGCCGTCTTAATGTTTGTATGCTGGGCCACCACTCTTTGAGGTCAGTTTATTTACTGCTAGTAAATAATTCTGATTGCAGATGAAGATGGAATGTGAGTCACTGGCCAAGGAGAGTTGTGTGGAAGGGGTACATCTACAGCATTCATGAAGGACCTTTTGCTTTTGTGGAGGATGTTAGGTCTTCAGCATGCTCAGTGAGGATTACCCCTGGGTGTCTCATCGCGGTACCAGCCTCTGTACTGAGAGCCCCAGCCACACCCCATTTCTTGCTGGGAGCTCACAAGGCAGCCTAGATCTCCTCTGAGGAATGAAGACTGTGAAGATGTCTGAGTAGGTTCAGTGGAAGCCTCACTTCAGATGGAGACTGAACCACCTAATGTAGAGGAACATGTCGGTGTCAGCGAAGGAAGGACAGTTAGCCTTAGCCAGCAACTGATGTTAACTGGATCAGAAAAGACTGACCATTTTCTCTCTCACATTGGGACAAGACAGAGACACCATTCAACGTTGTTCTGGATTCCTAGCAGAGGAATCAGACTGGCAAAAGAAGGAAGAAGCAGTGAGACTGGAAAAGAGGAAGGTCATTGTCACTGCAGATAATGTGACCTTAAAGAAAGACCTCCAAAAGTGTGTTAGGACTAAAGAATTGGCAAAATCTCAGAACAAAGAAAACAGCATTCAAAAGTCAGTAGTGTTGCCTTTGCCAACTACAAGATCTCTAGAACAAATCAGGGCAGCAATGCCATTTACAATAACCACCAAAATGGACACACAGATTGGAAGACTGCCCCTGGTTCATGGCTCTAAGAACACCACTGTAGAAACCGCTGGAACCCACTGCGATCTCGGTCAAATATGGCGGCCTTCACAGAACTGGACAAACACTAGTTTGAACTCTGCATAGAACCACAGAGACCTCCAAATAGGAAAGCAGCCTGAGCATAAAGAACAATGTACAAGGAAGGCATTGTGCTGCTGAACCTAGAACACTACAAAACATCATGGTGCCGATGTAAAAACAGACTCCGGGATCAGTGAGACAGTCCCCAGATAAGCTCACATCTAAACCAGCTGAACATCAGCACAGTTGTGAAAGAATATGCAATGGGAAAAAGTCAGCAAAATGTGCTGGGAATTGAATATCTATGTTTCGCTAGTTTAAAGAAAAAGGATTGGAAGCCATAAAACTAGACAAGCTATTCAAGGAAACGAAAATGCTTCAGGGTACTGGAAGAGGTGGGGCTCTTGGGGGGAGGGGCTAGTGTTTTGTTTTCTCTTTACCAGATCTCAAAAGCATAGGCAAACAAAAAGGAAAAATGGGTAATGGGAATCACATCAAACTGAAAAGCTACTTAGCGATGAAGCAGCCTGAAGAAACAACCTAGAGAATGGAAGACATCACCTACAGAGTGTACATCAACCCAGGCTAATGTGGAGCACGTACAAGGAAGTGCAAAGAGTAGAACAGGAGTGAACAGTGAGATCAGTTTCTTTTCCCATCACCAGGATAAAAACGCTGGACAAGAAGCAACGTAAGGGAGAAGGGGAGTATTTCTGCTGGCAGTCCTAAGGGACAAGTCCATCGAGGTGGGGGAGACATGATGTCAGAAGGGTGAAGACTCTGGTCATATTGCATCCACAGTCAGGAAGCAAAGGGTGCTCAGTGCTTATGCTCAGCTCACACTTTCCTTGTTCATTGTGAGCCCCCAGCTGGTGGAAATGGTGCCAGCCGCATTTAGACTCTGTCTTTCCATCTCAGCTAACCTCATTAATCTAGATCTCTCATAGACACGCCTAGAGATCTGTTTCCATGGTGATTCTGAATCCCATCAAATGGACAATCAAGATTAATCATCACACCCATTAAAAATGGGCAAGCCGCCTAATGTCTCTCAGAAGACATGGGAATGTCTGATAGATACATGATAAAATGCTAACTACTAAACGCCAGAAAAATGTAGGTCAAAAGTCATAGGAAGCTGTCTGTCTCTCAGTCCCAATAAGTGTGTCTGTTGCCAGTGAAACAGGGTAATGGGGCCAATGAGTACAGCTAAGAGAGAACCCTGCCACACGTACTTGGAGTTAATGCTCCAATGAGGATGGTCTGAACCGAAGCACAAACACCACTCCTGGGGCATATGGCCAAAGACATCTGCACCCCTATGTCCACAGCAGCACCATTCACAGCAGCCAGGAGCCACAGACAGCCTGACAGCCTGTGTGTCCTCCCGCTGATGGACTGATGTGCAAACAGACTGTAAATGCACGTGAGAGAGTATGATGTATGCACACAAAGAAGGCATCATGTTGCTGTGACTGGAGAGAACTGGATATTGTGTTAAGTGAACTTAGGCACAGAAAAAAACCAAGCACCGTGAAGTCTTGGAGATGTCGAAACGTTGCTATTGTAGAAGCTGAGAGTAAGATGGTGGTGACCAGAGATTAGGGGTCATGCAGGGAGGGAGAGCGCCCCCTAGTGAGCAGGTGGATTCTAGGAAGAGGTTCTGGTCCGCAGGTGACTAACAACAGATGATGACAAGGTGTGTCTCTGCCTTATCCAAAGAGTGTACAGTGTACACTCACACCACACAGTTTCTCACACATGTGACTATCTTAAAAATTAAATTTACAATATTAACCGAAACCTCCTGGGAAATCAGAATCAGGTCCCGTGGTGGCA